AGAGCGAGTTCTGGAGAGTCTCTCTCATGACTGGTGCGGGAAGCGGCTTGCCCCAGTAGAACTCCTCAGAAGCGAAAGCTGCATTGAGCTCCGGGATGGGAACGAGGCTGGTGTCGGTGGAGATGAGGTAGGAGTCCCGCGTCCATCTCCGACTGCGTAGTTGGGATGCGGTTGATTCCATCCTTGCTTTGGTGTGATTGCGGCGTATTGAAGAGTGCTGATGTAGAGTATGTAGACTTTTCTCCTCGAAACTCAATTGCCAAACAAAATCGAGGAACTTGAGAGTCCGATTATCTCATACGGCTTTAATAGATTTTCTCCAACAGGGTGACTCAGCATCACCATAGTATCTCTGACTCAACTACGCGAAACCGAGCGAATACTCGCATCACAGCAGATGTGCCATGCTTGGCGGGTCGTGGTGTTTTGAACCGAAGCCAAGAGCTGTCTCTGATTGGCACAACCGAGGCGCCAATTGGTTTACGACAGACCTAAGCTTAGTGGGCGTATCGGGCGTAATTGAAGGCCCCGTGCCCTTATGTAATGAAGTTGGCCTACATAATTGCGTGCTTCAACCACAGGTGACAGGAAAATCTAGCTGGAGATTCAAGAGATTGCGGAAGACGAAACATGGATTGAATGCACCTTGGAAGCAACCTCACCCAATATGCACAGATCATACTTCAACGGCGACCCGATACTTCGCACTGCCGATCTGGATATGACTGCCACTAACTCTCCCATTTGACAACATTTCATGCCAGAAACGACCGAAAACATTTCTATTCTGTTCATTCACTTCTCTGCTACATCCATCGACACTCTGCGATTCCAATCGTATAAGCTGACTGTGAATTCCACCAGAAGCTGAAGCACTCGAATTTACCCAATCAAACCCCCAAACCCCCAAACCACCAAGCGGCAATGGCGGATGGACCTTCCTCTCATAACAGCGACAAACTTCGTGCGCACGCAGCCGCTTACTTTGGGATGTACCACGATGGCCTCTCTGTCGACGCTTTGAACTCATACACAAGGCAACCTGCCTGAATTCGCCCGCCTGCTCCCTCGTTGTTGCACTTTTTGTAACTGTCCAGGAGAAGACTTGCGCAGTTGGCCGCATTCAGGTCCCCAAGAGGCTTCCACAAGAGGATGTTTTCCTCCGTTGTCTCCAAAGAGCATCCGTCAGCCCAATAAACGTTCAGCTGGTACGGTGCTTTGTTGGTAATTGTGTCAAAGTGAATAAAGGTGCTCGAGTCGCCCTTGGTAATGTTCCGCAATGCCGAGCCGGTGCATACGTGTCCAACATACTGCTCCTGGAAAGACGGATTTATGTCCTCGTGGTCACCGAACTCGTCGGTTCCAAAGCACTTAGGCTCACTAAGAGTCTTTGGGACTGGCTTGGTGATCTGGTAACTGAACTTTCCACACCCCGCGTCATACTCAGCATAATTGGCCATGGTGTTTCCTTGACCTCCCTTCTGGCCGCACTTGGAGTTGGCAAAGGCAGTGAAGGCGTCCTTGCAGGTAACTTTGCACTGCGCGCCAGCTTGCGCACCAGTCTCAGGCTTGTAGTTGAGCTCGAAGTTGTATTTCAGCCAGGTGTCTTGACTCGCAGGTGGGGTGCGTCTTCCCAGCTGCGGCTTGGGGATCTTCGAAGTCCCCTTGGAGTCCACAACCATGCGCAGAGCTGACTTGGCGTCCCATTTCTGGCAGAACTCCTTGTAAATGATGCCATCAGAGCCAGAGAAGACGTTGTAAGGGATTGGGCTGGCGTCGTTCTTGCAAGTTGGGCCGCTAGATGCCGTGTCCGGGTTGAAGATCTCGAAGCTGGCCACTCCACAGTCCAAGGCCAAGGTACCGTTGTGGGCCATTGTATGGGAATCATACGAACCTGAGACGCTATCAGAATCTAGGACATCGAAATAGATGAGTCTTACATACATGCGGTGTTGGTAGTAAAACCTTCGTCGAAGATTTGTCTGCATTGATTAGAGCACTTGTCCTTGCCGGATTTCTTCCAGTCAAGCGTGAAACTGTAGCGATTGTACGCATTGATAGAAATATCTGCTGGGGTGTAATAGGCGGATACGTCTTTGTCAAGTTTGAAGTTGTCGGTGCAGAATTTGTCCGCCAGACTACACGGGAACAATGTTAGCTATGTACTCGTCCACAAGCATGGCATCATCCTACGCATAGTTCCGTTGCACGATCCAGAGACTTCAAACCGGGATAACTTACATCTTGAAAATCTTTGGGTCCATATTTTCCATCTTCTTAGAACACTCACCGTAATTTGGGAGCTTCGGGAACTCCTTGGGAAGTGTCTTGAAGAGCTCTTGAATCTGCGCCATGGCTGCAAGCTCTTCCTGGGAGACCACAGCACCTTCAAAATCTGTCGGCGGGTTGCACTCGCAACCTCGGTAGTCGCCCTGTTGATCTTTATCAGACACCGCTCCAGAAACTCAATACCAATAAAAGCAAGCTGACAAGCAGCAGAAATTACTTACAGACTTGCAGGTTGGAGGCTTCTCCTTGGACTGGGGGAGCTGCATATCGCAATCTTGCTTTTGTGGATAGTCGCCACACCACAACTGGTTACTGTGGTCAGAATATTGAAACCTGTCCAAGAAAGTGTCATTTATCTTACTGGTGTCTTGGTTGGGTCAGGGCACAGCTTTGTGCTCGTAGATGATCTCGTTGAGATCGTGGCGGTCTTCGTGGGCCGTTTGGTCTGCTTGACAGCCTTGAGGGATGCCGAAGGAACGTGGATTCCGGTGATCAACGGCTTGGTACTTCCGGAGCTTTTCGTCGAGCCGTAAATGTGGAATGCATAAGCCAGAAAGCCAACTCCAAGGGCTCCGATGGCGGCAGGTGCACCAGCCTCGACGGCAGTAACTTCACCTTCTGACATGATGCTAAAGGCGACATCAGGAACCGCTTCAGCTTCTCCCTCAGCGTTAGTCAAGTCGATTGCCTTTTCCACCTCGATCTTGATGGGATGCTTCGGCGCGCCCTCCATGATTGCTTCCTCGAGATCTTGAATGACGTCAACAGACTTATCGAACTGGGTCTCGAAATGATCGACGAAGGCTCTGGCGCCACAATAAGCACGACGTTTTAGCCCACATGCCGGGGCATTCTGGGCTGCGTTTTCGAGGAAAGATTCTAGTGCTGGGTTGATAATGCTGATATCAATATCCCCAGCCGCGTTTGTTGTTGCTGAGAAGAATGCTTCCCGGGTCGTGGTAACTGGGCGCGACGTAGGTCCCGTAGTGATGGTCTTAATCGTCCCTCGTGCCAGGTCGGGCGTGATTGTACCTTGGCTGCGGTGCAGTACGTGTTAATGGTTTTTCATGGAATCTGAGATGGACGAAGGTCATACTCACAACTTCGAAGCAGGCGGCAGAATGCTTACAGGGTTGACTCCTACTTGACCTGTTTCCGTGGGCACCACGGCACCAACTTGAACAGCAGGTGGAGCGGTGGTGAGGGCAACCGCATAATGGAGAGAGACCGAGCATAAAGCTGCAGCTTGACCAAGAAAATTGGGAAATCGTGTCATAGTGCAGATAGGGAGGGTTGAAGAGTCAGTGACCTGACACAATTCGATGTACAGGGCGTATATTTCAGAGGATTTCGAACAAAATTCGTGAAAGAAGACGAAGCATGGTGTCTTTATGGTAGGCAACCTGATGGAGGCAGACAGACGGCTTCAAGCATAAATAGCTATTCTGTCTTCACTGTAAATAGAAACGAGTCAATCTTCGTTCGGGATATCTCAGTGGAAAATTTGGTTGGAGAAGATCACCGCCCGAACCAGGTCATGATCACATCATTCCCCCCAACAGTAGCAGGTAGTAGCGCAGCCCCCAATACAATTGATGTGTCGTCGACCAACAGTGCATCAAGAACATGATGGGCTGACCGCCACCACTTGGCTAAATTATCTTGTGTTGGAAGTATACAGACAACATACCAGGGCCCGAAGTTCATAAGGAGAAAAATCCTGCTTCTCGTTGTTGGTTTGAGGTAACCCCGCTTGGTCCAACTTCTGAGGCCAGATGTAGACCCCACGCTCCTTTCACCCGAGGGCGCTTGCCGACGTTAAGTCGAGTGACATGATCAAATCTGAGTTGCAACGCGTTATTCGAAAAACGCGCCGCTGAGGCTCAGTTTCGGGGGCCAACACCGCGTTGCAACAAAATCTTACCCAACGCTCCCTGCAGGGAGCTGATATGCATGATCCACTCATAAGCGCGGTAGAACTGGGGGCTTGTTGGTCGATCTGGGTCCCGAGTTGAGGTCCAACGGCACCGCCGTTGGCGCTTAACCATCACAACAATGCCATCCGAGAGGTAGCCAGGCTTTGGCAAACCATGAAACGCTACATCACTGCTAATTTTGAAAGTGTCGGAAAGCCCCCAATTGAGTACGCACCGTCGACTTTTACCCAACACGAGGGCCAATTTCGCCAGCTGAAATCTTGGCATTGAGGGATGCCAACGAGGTTGACCCGTCCAAGATGGACCAAAAGGGGGATGAAATGGGTTGCGATGCGCGAGGGGGCATATGATCAGAAATTTCTTCCAATGTAGTTCCGTCAAAGGCAAGGATCGATGGCGTTCACAGCGGGGTGCTCAAGTACCAACACCACTACCCTCTTCCCGAGTCTTTGTCGACATTTTCCGCAAGAGAGGAGAGTCTCGAACGCACTCTAAATAGCACGCAACTTGGGGGTCAATGGTATGATGAAAGAAAACGACGTTGTGCTAGGGAATTGTTCCAACGACCAAATCCGTCTTCCGACTCGGTAGCAAGCCCGTTGCGAGTTGAGAGAAAGAGGTGTAGGAGCTGTGTATAAAGAACACCGATGCCCATGGTCTTTTTCGAACAATTAGTTTCCTATTACGACAGACATCAACGGCTCAAATCTTCCCACGACATATTTTCAAGGATAACAGTCTGTTATACTCAATTTGCCGTGTACTTTTGCTGCCATGAAGTTCTCCTGTGCCTTCATCACGCTGCTTGCGAGCGGCTGCATGTCTCAACGAGCACCAGCATGGACCATCGATAAAAGTTGTGGTAAGTACAAATACAGCTTGATCTTCCTCCCTAATTTTGTCGCTTTGTCACACGGGCTCTGATTTCGGCAACCGCCAGACACCTACGACAACCAAAACATCAGGGATAAGATCAAAGACTCTGTTCTTGAAGGCCTGAAGCTTGCAGAAGATGCTGTCGGTGTCATGAGAGATCATGCAGACGATCCTTGGGTCCAAGAAATGAGCAAGCTAGTTTTGGGTCGTCGCGACGGGTTCGAAACCCGTTTTGAAGCCGCTAGACGTGAGTCGACTGTTTATGTTGCTTTCCAAACGAGAGGCGACTTATGCTGATAAGCAAAAATGATCATAAGAGACCCTCGAGCGTGTTGCCGCATTTGAGCGCGCACCTAGCAACCATCTACCTCTGACAGATGAGTGGAAATCTATGAGCAACAATCGTGACTGGGTGAGTTTCGGTTCCGGTGGGGCAAGCGCTCAAAGTCTCCATTCCCGCGCATGTCCATAACGCTCCTGTTTATTATTAACCTCCTGGGACTAGGAAATATATTGCAACGCCGACAGATTCCAGAAGGGTGACAGATTCACCAAGAACGCCGCTTTCGGTAATAGGTATCTGTGGCCCGACACAGCGGCGAACTTCAGACGCTGCTACAACAACGAGTTTCAGTCCGGGTCCGGCATAGACGGCGCAAAGATGACCACTTTGACGTCTGACATTATCGACAAGGTCGCTTTTGCGGCTGCCTACCGTCCCGCCGGCAGCACAGCAAAAATAGAAGATTTCACAACCGAGTCGGTATACGCATCTTCAACGGACGTTTGTTTGTGGTTTCTTGACAAGACCTACAGACAAGGATTCCCTCAAATTGACAATCAACTTTTAGAAATGGTCAAGTCTGATGGATTTCGTGCTGGTTTTACGCATGGTGTCCCGGTCGATGGACTGAAAACTGCTAGTTTTACATTCCTTCATGAGGTAAGACCTGCTCAGCCCGTGATATGATGAAGTTACGCTAAGCCTTTGATTGGTAGTTAACCCACACTACCCAAGGCGGGAAGCTCAAGGACCTCACAGACTTGCCACCCGAAATTCCCTCTTGCTACAACTGGTACTGCGTCACAAAAATGGCGCTAGAGCCTTCTATTGAGGTTGAAAGAAACGCAGGTATGTCAATTCAACCACTCTAAGGCTCCTCGACCTTTCACTCTGGATTATCGAGCCTCGCTGTTTCAGGCTGTTTGACTTGCCTTGGCACTAATGCTCTGGAAACTAATAATTCGGGAACAGATTCGATAGCAATACTGGCCTTGGCACTGAGAGTATGGAAAATGAACCACCATGTTGACGCAGACGGTGTCATTCATGAGATCCCAAGGACCTAGGGTCGTCTTAAGGGACGGATCTTTGGCATGGATTCAATATAGATCGAGAGGCATCTACCTACCGTCTATGTCGGAAGGATATGTGCTCAGGGCTGTAGTAGGATCGTGGAGGGCGTTGGTTGCGCCGCGGAGAGTTTGGTGCTCTACATCAAGGCTTCGGTCGGACGCAGTTCTAGGCTGAATCGTCGGCATTTTGATTGGCGGGCAGCATACCGAGAGGGAATGTTTTCACAACCCATACTTAGTAGATTATCCAGGATTCAAACTATCGTATTTGCTTCGCTTCCCAGGCATACGGCACTTTCTGACACAAAAGTTGGAGTTGAACTGCTTTGATCTCAATCCACCATGGGAAGATTTGCACTCTCACATGAAGGGGGCAAGACATTTTTTGCAGTCCAATTAGCGAGGAAGAACCAATTGAACTTCACTTGGCATTTCCAGACTGTTTCTGTTGGTAGTATGCTTGTTGGTTCGCTGCAGCCCCCGAGATTGTCCGACCAACAGGCGGTGTACTGAGCTACGGCCATGCGTATTTATAACCCTGATGGTCGTCGCCCCCTCAATCCTTTTTTCGCACTCCTTTTCATACGTTCATTCCAACTGCCAATTCTAGATCAGCGCTGAAGGTGGTCCTTTTGTTTCTGGCACCAAGCATCGCAACCCTACAGCAAGCTCTGCCGAATTAATGGCTTCATCCGCACCTCTATTTTCCAAATTCCCTTTGGAGATTCGATTCCAATTCTATGAGAAATTATGGGGTAGAGAGACGCACATATTTATTCATCAGGGACAGCTTCAGATTATGGCCTGCCAGGGCGTGGACGATGTTTCATACCGGAACATGACGCCGGGAGGCGATACCATACGCGACTTTGAGGACCCTGTCTGGATTCGTCGAGTGGAGTCAAGTTGGGGATGCCATTGGAAATGCGAAGAACACTATTTGGACGGCATGAAAGAGCCTGGTCACGCATCTCACATGCATTTGCTTTCGGTCTTGCTTTCTTCGAAGACGATGTAAGTTGAACCTCACACCTGTCTGATGACGAATTTGTTCAAATAGGTGGTAACAAATGCATTACACAGGTTTCATGACGTAGTTCAATTCTTGTCCCAGCCCACTCAGTACATCCATTTTACGGATCTGGAGACCATCAGCGGCCTCTTCTGCGCAAGCTTCCCAGCAAACTCTTCCCTTTCCCAAGCACGCAGTAAGAACGAGAGCTGGCCAGTACTCAGATCAATGCGCAACATTTGCCTCACATTGCGCCTATCACTGCGACTCTTGGGCACACTGTATGTGCCCTTCCTTTCCAGGCCGGCAATGCAGCAGAAGATCAACATGCCGCCTAGACCATTCGCCACCCCAGAGGGGAGCGGCTGTCTGAGACAGTACAAGCAATGGGAACGGCTCTGGCCTTCATTACAGGACCTTCCATTCTTACAGTCGTTTGCTCTCTGGCTCGACCACAATGGCCACTATAATTGGGATCTTGTGTACGAGAGAGAGATCTTGCAAAGTCTATCGGATGTCATGCCTACCTTGAACAGCCGCGGAGTGAAGGTCTGCGTCAATCTTCCTCGGCTACCGCTCGAGATAACGAGCTATCACAATGATGACCGGTATTTTGTCACGAAAGCGCCTGAATTTTCTGTCAAAAGACGAGTGCGCCTTCCGTGGAAATGTGCTGCCGAGGGCGACGAGTGGACTGCAGCTAATAAGTTCGGAATCTGGTGGGTCACAAATGAAGAGAATGGCAAAATCCCTCCTGGGTACCCAGAGAATCGAGCCCCGCCTCGTGGCGAAGATTGGTCAATCTTCGATGCGATGGGATACGACGTCAACAGTGATGAATTCGACAATCACCCACAGCTAGGATTTCCACTCAAGGGGGAATGGGGCATCATTTGATAGATGGATGAGATAGTTGAGGCATTCACGGCGGTCGAGGCCGAGCTGCTCTTGAAATCGTCACATAGTGATGGGCTACAGCCGGGTTCTATTCCAAGCACTTCAACCTGGGAGCATTCTCAGAATATGAAATTTATACCACAGTGACCGTCAAGCTGGAGAACAAGTTCCATTCATTACCTACAAATCAGCGCTAGCATCAAGATACAACGCTACCAGTTGCGGTTGGCTCCACGCCAGGAAGACTGAGTCAAATACGAAGAGATGGGTTAGAGCATGTGCCTGTTGTTTTTTTTCCCTCACAAGATCAACGCATACTATTGGCAAGACCAAAATATACCAATCTGCGTCGTGGTGGTCCCGTAATAATGCTGCTGCAGGAAGTACTACTGCTAACCGGTGAGTATTCAGCAAGGGCCCTTTCAAGGTAGCCAATCAGAAATGTCTGGTTGTAGGATTGCTCTGTTGGTCCCCGAGTCGTTTTGGCGGCAAGTCTGTTGGTGGCGCTGCGCCAACTTGCTGCAGGACGAGGGATCTCAGCGTTTATAAATAACACCGGTCCTCGCTCGCACTTTCCAACCTGCTTCCTGCATTCTTTTTTTTTCCCACGCATCTCAGAGTATCCACATTCACTACGACCTCCATTCTCTGGTCGCTACAATTCTGTTATTTCTCTTTTGCTGCAAACGCCCGCCCAAAACGATTTTGTTTTCTTTTGGCTCAACATGCACAACTTAGTTCCTGTTGAGGAAGTGCAGGAATCGCCCCTATTGGACTTGCCGCTCGAGATCCGATACCAGATTTATCGGACGCTATGGGGAACGGAAACGCATTTGTTCCTACATGACGGCAAATTACAGATCATGGAGTGTCTTGGCGTGGACGACACATCTGACAGACGACCCGAGTATAACACCCGATACGACGACCCGCAATGGGTGCGTCGGATTGGCTCAAATTGGGGCTGCCACTGGAGATGCGAAGAGAGGTATTACGACGGTGAAGACCAGAACAAGGCCGTTCATATGCCCCTTCTTCCTCTGCTGTTGTCATCAAAGGCGTTGTATGTGTTTGATTTCGTTTTCAAGTTCCGCCAACGAGCTTCGAATGCTGACTTCCTTGACCCAGATCCTCGGATGTTCTCGGTTTCCTCTCTCAACCGAAACAATCCATCCATCTCACCGACCTCGAGACTATCGATCTGATCATACCAGCCACACTTCCACAGAAGCCCTCAAAGACTCTGGGGAAATCAACAACACACGAGATGAAACAATACCACATGTTCAAGTCCCTGCGCAACATCAACCTCACATTGCGACTTCCCATGGCCCTTGTCAACACTCTTTTCGTTCCCTTCTTCTCAAAGATGGAGCAACTGAAGACGCTTCCAAGACCCGGCGGCACACCGGAAGGCAGCGGCTGCCAAAGTGAGTACGATCAGTGGATGCGAATCTGGCCCAGCCTCGAGAAAATGGACTCGTTGCTACGGGTTGGTCTGTGGCTCGACCACGACACGGAATTCTGCTGGGGAGATGTCTCCGAAACGCAAATACTGCAGGGTCTATCGGGTATCATGCCCATGTTGAGAAGTCGCAATGTCCAAGTCAACGTCAACTTACCGTCACTTCTCAAACCATATGGTGAAGAGGATGATCACTTTATCGACGTAACTCCTGAGTTCCAACTTCAAAGACGAACACGACTGCCTTGGATCGTAAGCTGTTTCTCGGCCTTGGGTTCCTCGACTTTGGAGAAGAAGGTTGCGTGGGTGGATAATAGGGAAAACGGACGGCCGCCCCCTCATGTTCCCAAGGGTCAATATAAACATGCTCAGAACGATTGGTACATATTTCATGTACTCGGCTACGACACTGAGTGTGACGAGTTTGTATACCACCCACTCGTGGGCTTGGACTTCACTGATGGCAGCTTTTGTATGGTTTAATGATCTTCAGGAATAGGACTCATGCATGGACCTGAATAGGGGGTATCGTAGGCCCGAAGTAGAAAGTCGTAATTCCCAAGAAGCTCTAAATGCCATCTTGGTGATTCGCCCGACTAGAGAATGCTGAGTCACTCGTCGACTTTAGATGCACGGAGTTACGCACAGGCTCTGGATAACTCTCATTGACCTAAGCCGTTTTCTGTCCGTTACAGATGAATAAAGTCGAAGTAAAACAGTCAATCATTGACGATGACGCCCCCGTGAAGGGATTCTCCTTCCAGGGGCGACTCTGGCGATCAATATAGGAAACCCCATAAACCGATTGCGATCTCCAGACTGATGCTTGTCATGAGGGAGGAAACCGTGCCTACAGTGCTGTATCACGTCAGTTTTCCTAGTGGCCACACAAGTCAAGAGTTCTCGAACGCCTGTCAACACCGCACCGAATGACGCGATTTTGACCACCCAAATTACAATGAAAGAAAGCGTTTACAGAAGGTTTCCCCAGGCGAGCTCGCCAACGCTTTCTCACTCTGGCATCACTCGTGATGTGGGCATTCTATGCCCCGGCCCCTTTCTTCCCCCGCTTCTCCAACTCTGCGAAGCCCTCTTTAAACAGACTTTGACCTACAGATCATCCAATCTCCAAGAAAAAAGCCCCCTCAGCGGGCTCACGCGGCCCAATCGCGAGATTGAGCGTGACATTCAGGCTAAATACCTGCCGGCGGCATCCCTGTACCGTAGCAGCTGCCGTGCGGAGAAACGCGGGGTGCGGAGGGCCTGGGATGCTTTTCACCCGAAATTACCCCATCAACAAGGGCATCGAAAAGCCGAGGTGCTGCTGTGTAAATCACTTGTTTTCCTCGGGGAGATGATGCCGGATTTCTGGAAGAATCCGACGGCATTACATACCTGCGTTTACGTCAATGGAGACGAGCCGGCGGGATCCATTCCATGGCTAAGATGTGCTTGACATATAAGACCGCGCCTTAAGGCGTTCTCTCACCAATGACGGCCACCTCTCCCACCCCAACCCGGCATCGGCCTCTTGCAAGATGTCTTCCCCACGGCCACACGCCTACGGGCTCCTCCTCCTGAGCCTCCTCGTCCTGCTGCTCTCCCGCCCTGCCGCGGCGCTGAGCATCAGGCGCCAGGACAACTCCACCATCTCCGCCGGCCGCGAGCGCGTCAGCATCAACAAGGGCTGGCGCTTCTGGCGCTCCGAGTTCAACCCGGACGGCATCGCCTACGACATCCGCCCGGACCTCGAGAACCTCACCGACATCTACGTGCTGAAGGACTGGATCCTGCCTTCGGCCAACACCTTCATCAACGACGCCGCGAAGCACCACGAGCGCCCCGCCGGCGAGCCCACCCGCAATGTGTCCTACGCGTCCGCGGGCTTCGACGACGGCGCGTGGGAGACGGTGGACCTCCCGCACGACTGGGCTATCAAGGGCCCATTCTACACCGAGGAGGACCCCATCATCGGCGGCGGCATGGGCCGGCTGCCCGTCCACGGCGTGGGCTGGTACCGGCGCAGTCTCACGCTGAGCCCCGAGGACGCGGGCAAGTCGATCTACCTCGATGTCGACGGCGCCATGTCGTATGCGATGGTCTGGCTCAATGGCCACCTCGTCGGCGGCTGGCCGTACCCGTACAACTCGTTCCGCCTCGATCTCACGCCGCACCTCAAGCAGGGCGAGGACAATGTCCTTGCCATCCGCCTCGACAACCCGCCCGACTCGGCGCGCTGGTACCCCGGCGGCGGCATCTACCGCAACGTCTGGCTCACCAAGGTCAGTCCCGTGGCTGTCAGCCAATGGGGCACGTACATCACCACCAAGGACGTGTCTTCTTCCTCCGCGACGCTCGACCTCGTCGTTGAAGTCGAGAACACGGGCTCCGCAGACCAGGAGATCCAGGTCACTACTGACGTCTACACCCTCACCGCCGCTGGCGAGGCAGGCGACAAGGTGTCCTCCTTCGAAGCCTCCTCGCTCACCATTCCCGCCGGCAGCAAGTCCTCCGCCTCATCCTCCACCTCCGTGACGAACCCCCTCCTCTGGGGCCCTCCCCCATCCCAGCAACCGCACCGCTACCTCGCCGTCACAACCGTCACCGTCAACAACCACGTCGCAGACACCTACACCACGCGCTTCGGCATCCGCTCCGTAACCTACTCCGCCGACGCCGGCCTCCTCGTCAACGGCGCCCACGTCCGCCTCCAGGGCGTTAACAACCACCACGACCTCGGCGCCCTCGGCGCCGCCTTCAACACCCGCGCCGCCCAGCGCCAGCTCGACATCCTCGCCGAGCTCGGCTGCAACGCCATCCGCATGTCGCACAACCCGCCGGCCCCGGAACTCCTCGAGCTCACCGACGCCATGGGTTTCGTCGTCATGGACGAGGTCTTCGACTCGTGGTACCGCAACAAGACCGCCAACGACTTCCACCTCATCTTCGCCGACTGGCACGAGGCCGACCTGCGCGCCATGATGCGCCGCGACCGCAACCACCCCTCCGTCGTCATGTGGTCCTTCGGCAACGAGGTCTCGGAGCAACAGATCGGCGACCCGGGCACCGTCCCGGCCCTCGAGCTGCACGCCATGGTCAACGACGAAGACCCCACCCGCCCCTCGACGGCCAGCATGAACTTCGCCAAGCCCAACATGTCCTTCCCGACGGCGATGGACGTGCTCAGCCTCAACTACCAGGGCGAGGGCATCCGCGACACGCCCGCGTACTCGTACCTCCCCGGCGTCCGCACGCACCCGCTCTACGCGGACTTCCACGCCGCCTTCCCCGACAAGATGATCCTCTCCTCCGAGACGGCGTCGGCGCTCTCCACGCGCGGGAGCTACATCTTCCCCGTCGCGGATTCTGGGGGCGCCCCCGTCAACGACACGTCCGGCGGGAACTCGACGACCTTGCGCGTGAGCGGGTATGAGCTGTACTCGGCCAACTTCGGCGCCGCGCCGGATAAGGTGTTTGCCGCGCAGGACGCGCACCCGTTTGTGGCGGGCGAGTTTGTGTGGACGGGGTGGGACTACCTTGGCGAGCCGACGCCGTATTACACCGCGCGCAGCTCGTACTCGGGCATTATTGACCTCGCGGGTTTCAGGAAGGATAGGTTCTTCCTGTACCAGGCACGCTGGCGGCCGGACCTGAAGTTTGCACATGTCCTCCCGCACTGGAACTGGCCCGACCGCGTCGGCGAGGTCACGCCGGTGCACGTCTTCACCTCCGCGGACACCGCCGAGCTCTTCCTCAACGGGGAGTCCCAGGGAAAACTCAGCCGCGCGGAGGGCGAGTACCGCTTCCGCTGGGACGAGGTCCTCTACGCCCCCGGCGAGATCAAGGTAGTCACCTACAAAGACGGCGCCGAGTGGGCGACCTCCGTCGTGCGCACGGTCGGAGCGGCAACACAGCTTGCCGCGTCGGCGGACCGGGCGGCCATCGCTTCCGACGGGGCCGATCTGGCGTTCGTCACGGTGGAAGTGCGGGACGCGGAGGGCGACCTGGTGCGCTTCGCCGAGGACGAGATCACGTTCAGTATCAGCGGGCCGGGGCAGATTGTCGCGACGGATAATGGTGATCCTGCGGATCTGGTTGCGTTCCCGTCGCTGACGCGCAAGGCGTTTAGCGGGTTGGCGCTGGCGATTGTCAAGTTTGACGAGGGGGCGACGGGGGAGGTTGTGGTTACGGCGTCGGGGCCGGGGCTGAGCGATGGGGTTGTTACTATCAAGACGCTGTAGACGAGATGTAGATTTGAATGAAGAGTTGAACAGTTCATTATTGTGAGAGTGTTTGTTGTGTAGACTTTACATGTGATGCCGCTTTGTCAGCGGTGACGATGTTTTGTATGGATCAAGTCCGAAGACTCGCCGACACGGGAATAAGAAAAGACACAAGAGAGTCAGGCGATCAGATGGGGAGCTCAATCAACCACAGCATCCCCGGGATTACTCGATCTCGCCATCCCCATTGTCACTCGACATGAGACGAACCGCAGCGCTGAACACGAGTCAAACCTGCACTTATGCTTTCCTCCCTAAATCCCCGCTAAATAGGGAGCCCATCAACGCAGCCACAGCCGGTTTGTAGGGCTGAACAGTCCGTCCTCCCGATCGCAGAGTTAGTTCCCTAAATGCTGTGTGTTGTTCGCAAACTTCGTGTTCTCTCGCACTAATCCCACGCCGTCGGCGGCTTGGGAGAAATGGCGCCATGCCAAACCGCCTGCCTTTCACGGGAGTCCAGAGGTAAAAGAAGCAAGTGACAAAAACTTGGAGACGGCACTGGAAAAGTTGCGTCTGAAAATAGAAGCTTAACCGGGTAACCGAGCATTCCCGTATGCACAAGCCAGGACCCCAGGACTGCTCCGTCGACACGGGTTGGCCGGCTCCAGCATCCCAGCGCAGTCGAGATTACCTCGCCCCACAGCCCGCTCCCCTTTTACGAGGTGATCGTCACGATGCGAGCGAGGGGGGCGCAGGAAGGTTGGGTTCTGGAAGGAATTTAAGGTGGTCGTCCCGGGCCGGTGGGAGATCTCAAGCTGTCTTGGGATTTCTTCATCCAGCCTGAGTTGTTGGTTCTCAATACTTTTGACCTGTTTGCTTGTGCTAATACTGCAAGAATGTCGCCCGTCACTCGTTTCTTCTCGGCGGCAGCGGTCGCGTCCGTCGCGACGGCGGCTGTGATGGAATTGCCCATCATCGTGGACAACGGCTACGTAAGTTGATGTCTAGACTATGAGTGACGACCTGAATGGCTAATGATTGGCAGAAAACTGTCGAGTTCAACATCGGCACGCCCGCCAAGACGTACCGCCTCCTCTTCGACACAGGCAGCTCGTCGTCCTGGGCCGTCGACAGCACCTGCAAGACCGAGTGCGCCAACGTCAGCGGATACAACCGCACCGGCTACGACATCGCCGCCTCCAGCACCGGCAACCTCACCGGCAACTCGGCCGACATCCCGTACCTCGGCGGGCGCGTCGCGGGCCCCGCCGTCGAAGAGGTGTGGTCCGCCGGCGGCGTCACCTGGGACCAGGCCTTCATCGCGGCCAACGAGTCCAACTGGGCCGCCCTCGCCGCCGACGGCTTCATGGGCCTCGGCTTCAGCTCCATCATCGACGGCGGCGCCAACACCGTCATGGAGACCCTCATGGCCGAGGGGCACCTCGACGCCGCCAAGTTCGGCATCTACTACGGCACCGAGTTCACCAACACCGGCGGCGTGCCCGGCGACGGCGTGCTCACCCTCGGCGGCTCGCGCGAGGCCGATTTTGTCGACGGCGACCTCACCACGATCCCCATCACGCGCGTCATCCCCGGCTTCTACGACGTGTGGCGCTCGACCATGCTCGCGGTCAACGGCACGCGCACCACCGCCAACGGCAGCGTCACCGAGACCGAGGTGGACTTTGACATTGGCCGGGTCGTCTTCGACACGGGCGCGGGCTCCATCACGCTGCCCGAGGCGCAGAACCTGAAGGTGTACGAGTCCATCGGGATGAACTACACGGCGATCCTCAACGGCGAGCACATCCCGCTCTGCAGCGAGTTCAACTCGTCGTGGTCCTTCAAGTTCAGCTTCGGCGACTACCGCACGCCGCAGGTCGTCGAGATCACGGGCGAGCAGCTGAAGCGGCCCGGCTTCGCGAACCGCGAGGACGCGTGCTGGCCGCCGTTCGAGGGCGGCGAGACGAGCGGGTTCACGCTGATTGGCACGCCGTTCCTGCGCAACTTTTACACCGTCTGGGACTTTGGGGCCGCGGCGAACGAGACGGACATTTCCAAGTTTGACCCGAAGCTGTCGTTTGGCAAGATCAAGGCCAAGGCGTGATGGGGAGGCAGATGTGTGTGGGTTGGGTGATTGTCCAGGGTGACTGGGCAGCAGAACAGAACAAACCAGGTAACTGGAAATGATAGAGTCAATCATACAAAAAAAAATGAGTAAAATCTTGGAAATCCTTCAGATGCACTCGATCGTCAGATCTTGGATCGCACGTGGTGGGAGGCCACCCAATCCAACCCCGACCATGACCCCGGCCGCGAAGCCTCAGCTCGATGCATCGGCAGCTCGTCGATTTGAGTTTGCATGTGACGTGCCGCGACGTGCAGAAGATTGGAGAGAGGAAGCGAAGATCAGATCGATGGTGTGTGTTTTGACAATTGACAGGCCAGGGGTCTGACAACCAAGAGGGTCGCGTCGGCTCAAAGTGCAGTCAGTCCGCAGTAGTGTGAAGGAAGAAAAAAGTGCGCTGGGATGCTTGGTGTTTTGGAGGTGCGCGGAAAACATCGCAATGACGTTATCGGTGACGTCTTGGCCGCCGTGTCATTGGCTGCAGGCTTCGGTTTGGGACGCACTCGCCACGCACCAGCGAAGCAGAGGCCTGGAACGCAGCACAGAAGGTGTGGCTGGGCTGGGAAAAGCCTGGAACATGGGAAGGCGATGAGTGAGTGTGCTCGGTCAATAGGTCGTCACTGCTTGAGAAAGTGAAGGAGGAAGAGGAGAAGATGCAGAAGGTGGTGTTGCGGCATATTCTTTCGTCAGTCTTTGCACGGGCTCGACTTCATCTCTCTCATCCCTACAACAAACCTTCATGATACCCTTCCTAGGAACATCCTAAGATCCTATTGTCCCTTTTACTCGAACAATTATTGCATTCCATCTGTATTTCATTGCTTCTCTAGGTTGTCGTTAGTAATCTCACTCATCATGTCACGCACACTGCTGCTGTGTTTCATCCACGGCTTCAAGGTGAGAGGCCCCCTGTCTGTTGCATGCAACGCCAATCTAACCACTACCACAGGGCAACGATGACACCTTTCGCGAATTCCCTGATGTAAGTGAAGATATCGCCAAGAGGTCCCGTGGGCACCCGCTCACCTTCCTGCAGGACCTCAAACGGGTAGTCACCAAGCAACTGCCGGACCACCGCGTCGAGTCCATCGTCTACCCCAAGTATGAGACCAAGGGCGAGCTGGCTGAAGCCACCGAGGCTTTCCTGGCATGGTATCTCACCTCCATTCATCAGAAATGAAAGGCCTTACCCTAACACATCTCCAGGCTCAAAGAACAGGTCATGGAAGTGAGGAAGTCCACCGTCGAGAAGCCATGGCCACCGAAAGACAGAGAAGTCGGCGTCATCCTCGTCGCTCACTCTATGGGGCAAGCCTCACCCCTCACCCCATCATACCCAAGCACTAACACAAGACAGAGGCTTCGTCGCCGCAGACGCACTCTTCCTCGCCGTCAATGAGCGCGCCCACGCCAACCCCTCCGAGGACGACCCCATCTTCCCCCCGATCCAGGGCATCCTCACCTTCGACACCCCCTACAACGGCCTCGCCCGCTCCATGTTCGTCTACGGCGCCTTCTCAAACTACCAGAAGGTCAGCAGCGTCTTCAACGTCATGACCGCCCTCTCCGCTGCCGCGCCCGCGAGCCTCGCCCGCCTCGGCACCAGGCGCGCCGCCACCTCCGCCGTCGCCTCGACCGCGCGCAACCCCGGCTGGAAGACGTGGCAGCTCGTCGCCGTGCGCACGGGGACAGTGGGCGCCATCGCGGCGGGTGGTGTGGCTGCGTATGTTAACCGGGAGGCCATCATGAACGGGCTGAAGAACCTCAACAAGGAGTCCGTCAAGGAGGGCTACCGCCAGAGTATCGATGCTCTGGGGCAGGGTCTGGCGTACATCAACCGCGGGAATGTTGGCCGCTCGTTTGCGTGGCTCTCCGACCACTTCACCTTTGTCGGTGCGCTGCTGAAGCAGAAGGAGCTCAACCGGCGGCTGGAACGCATGGGCGCTCTCAAGGGCGTGGGTATTCACGACTTTTATGCTTCGTTGGGCGAGAATGGGTACTGGCAGGGAGGGTACTTCGTCCCCGAGAGGACGTTTTGCGCCGTGCCTGAAGAGAGCCACGCCGCGTATCCTCTCTTCTCTCGCCAGGTACTGCGCAAGGTCGACGATGAGGTGCAGGCCCACATGAGCCTCTTTGACCCAGAGAAGAATGAGGACTACGAGAAGATGACGGACAAGGCCTCAGACCTAGTGATTGAATGGTTCAACAGCGAGGAGCGTGTCGTCGACGACCCCAAGTTCCGCGAGCCGCCGCCGGAGGAGGCCCAGGAAGACCACGAAGTGGAAGAGACGCTGGAGAAGGCAAAGTCGAATGAGGAAGCAGAGAAGTCGGATGAAAAATTGGATGAGAAGGTGGCGTCCAAGTCTACGGATGAGCTCCCAGACGAGTCGCCCATCGACATCGCTGCCGCAGCGTCGGTTGTGCCCCTGCCGGAGGACGGGGATGGAGATATCGTCGGGGATGCGAGCCCGGAGAATGTCGACACCGAGCAGAAGCGAACGTACATGCAGCATCTGTTCCAAGTTGCCCAGCAGACAGGCACCGGCGTCAGAGGTTTGTGGCCGAGCAAGATGCCGAACATGCCAAATATGCCCAATATGCCTAGTATGCCGGGGATGCCAGGAATGCCCGGCATGCCGTCGATGCCGAAGGTGCCGGCATCAGTCTCTTCACTCGGCCCGGTTTCGATGCCGAGTGTGAACATCTGGAGACGGGGCACACCATCGCAAGCGCAGGATGGCAAAGACGCGGCGGAGAAGACTGGCGAGGCTTCCAAGTCTGATGAAGCTCCTAAGGCTGATGAAACTGTAGAATCGAAGGTTAAAGAGTCGAAGGCTGAAGAATCTAAGGCTGCGGAGACGACTGTCGATACAGAAAAGCCCAAGGACGACAGTGGCGTTGAACTTGGATCAGAGCCCAAGGAGGTTGGAAGCACCGTGGAAAAGAAAGAATGAGACGCGTCACGTTTTGGCCGGACTGTGTATTTCAATATTGGAGCATAACACATGAATTGTAATCGCAAGCACTTGAGTAAGTAGTTAATAACAGCATCATCTAATTTGGTATGTAAATGTTGATAACACAATGTTAATAACCCAATGTCCTTCCTGACTGACAGCATCAAGATTCGTGACATCCGCAATCACTCCTTGCCCAGGTTTGAAATATCCCAAAGTGACATTCAAATTTAAAGTACTTCAACGTCATATGTACAACACGCAAGCAAAATAACTTTGTACAAAGAAAGGAACCACTGCCACAAACCCATTTCAGTCACCAACGTCTTCAACCCACAGCCCCCAGACACACCATCTAGGCAGTCGCGCCGGACAGGGTGAAAGAGTAGTCCACACCCGTGTTCACCTCAGAAGTCAGCGAGAAAGGGTCATACAACACCAAGTTGGCCGGCGTATTCGCCACAACCAAGCTCGCCTCCTCGCCGCTGGCAACACTCACACTGCCCTGACCGCCGCTCAGCTCAACGTACCGCACCGCGCCGCTGCCCGTGTTCCTCACCACCAAATGCGACGTCAGCTGCCCACTCGTGGTGATCCTCACCGTCACCGTGCCGGACGGGTTCTTCAGCGGGATGATGTTCGCCCCCATATACCTTGGCTGCCGTGCCGTCTTCACCCGGTAGCTCCCGCTGCCCGTCGAGTCGACGTTGGCGTAGTTGATCCTGCTCCGCTGGCTCAGGAACACGCTCTGCGCCTGGCGGTGCCCGATATCAACGTACGCCATCCGCGCCCAGTACTTTCCAACAACTTTCGCGACCGTGGCACCTGTACTCACGCGCTGCAGCGTGTGCAGAGGTGTCTCGTTCGAGTTGGCCGAGTATCGCACCTGCAGCTGCCTGACCACATCGCTCCCCAAGCCAGCGAAGCCATCGGGATTATTGGTCAGGTACGTCAGGAACGGCCACGCCTGGTAGTAATTCCCCGTATTCACGCTTCCGTCCACAATAACCTGAAAACTATCCCCAATCGTCTTGACGACATCGATCTCGCTCGTCTCAGGCGTCGCCTGGCCCGCAGCACTTCTCGCGCTTGCGCACAGCGGGCTCGTGAGGTACGTGTCCGCAACCCAGTTCGCCAGCGTCTCCCACCACGCCCCGGTCCGTCCTTGATTAACCCACGTCTTCTGGTGGTAGTGCAGCCCGTGCCCGAACTCGTGCACCGTCACGCCGGGGACAGTCAAATACGCGTTCTGCACCTCGAGCCAGGCCATACCCGCCGCCCCGTCGGAGTGCATTACGCCCGCTGCGCCGGGGAGCGAGGCCACGCTGTAGACGTTGACCTTCTGCCACGGCCCGTCGTCGTCAGTGGCATCGTTGTAGGAGAGGCCGGTCGAGCGCCAGCCGAGGGTGGTCACGAAACAGGCGTAGACGCCCTCTAGCATGGAGAGGGCGCGGTCGGCGGCGGAGAGGTCGGCGGCGTAGACGCGGAAGTGGGCCGAGTCGCGGTAGGAGGAGCCGCCGGGCCCGACGGCGGGGTTGGCGGTGAAGGAGGCGGGCGGGGCTCGCGCGGCGAGGGTACGGGTGGAGCGGTCGGTGAGGGTGATGGAGGGGTTAGGGGTTGTAGTGTCGAGGTCGATGCCGCGGCAGATGGGCTGAGATGGGGCAGGGAAGGCGTGGGCTCCGTGGAGGAGTAGGGCCGCGAGGCTGAGCGAGGTGAGTTTTGTCATTGTGGCGGTTGGGTAGGGGGGAGGAGAGGGGATGGGGATGTGGAAGATGCTGATCGTGAGCTGTTTAGTCGTCAAGGTTGGCGGATCAAAGGCTTTATATGTTTCGACAGGATGGTAGCTTCTAGAGGAGTGCCGTCCCTCATGATGGAATAGTCCAGTTGCTCAGGAGGTGTTGCTGCCATCGACTCAAACACCCGGCAACAACAAATTAGGGAGCACTTGGCGCAATGGCACAACCCAAATAATAGTCGTTCATCCGATGGCTTCCTGGCATAGCCGGGCTCAGGTCGATCGCAAATGATCGAACAGTAGGGCTACTGGTGGAAATCTGTTTGATGTTCGGTACGATAACACCCCTCGTCGATATCTCAACTCCGTTAAGGGGTGGAAACCAGGATCCGTCGAGATAGGGGTGGGTACTAGGATCCTAAAGGAAGGCTCACCTGTGGCCATCACGTTATGATACGACTGATATCACGGCTCAAGTCACATATTGATCTCGTTTTAGTAGCTCCGGAAACGATCCCGATCACATACCATCGAGGTAACCATCACAAGTGACGGTTTCCAAGCAGCACCCAGAAGCAGACATACCAACAAGATGCTATTCCATGTGTTCCTTGATTCCGTACGAGCCAGCCACCAGTAGTATCAACAAGTGATGAAGAATTTGAAAATTATGAGCTCAGTGCTCACACATCCCGCCGGAGCCCACGGCCACATATCCCTGCCTCACCAAGAGCTCTAGTCTGGGGTATGCAGTCCCTTCTCTGTCCCGGATTAAGTCCAGAATAACCTTAAAACACTCGCCCCCATAATCCAAGCCACTGGTAATAATCCTCCTAGCTCTGCAGCCGTTTAAGCTTACACGCCTTGGCCTGTTTTTCCCAGCCAAAGTCGTGGCTCACATGATGAACGCCAACGTGCAGGGATCGTCACCTCGCAGCGCCTGCTTTCCTCAACTGCCGACAAAAGGAAAGTTGCATTTGGGATTTTGCGCGCCAATTGGGACCCATCAGGGGATAAAATACGAAGAAAGCGGTTCGTTCTACTTAGAGTATGGCGTGTGTCGGCAGACGCACCAAAGTCACCTTCCCAATTCGCGTCGACTTGGCTCTTGGCAGAACACCCCTTCATATCCCGAAATGAGAGACGCACCATTGAGCTCCGCTGGGAGTGACCGGCATGCTGTCCGACCTTGCAGGAGTGCGGGAAATAACACCGGTGCTTTTTTTTCTAATCGTGTCGGAATTTAGTTGCTTTCGCATCCTCGATCAGATATTTGAGTGTGACTTGTCTGTCTTTTGGTCTCCCGGTAGACCGGCCGGGGATGTGGGGCGATTTCGGCCGGAGGTCGGCAGGAAACCTATCTCTCCAGAGCCGAAAGCACCGTCCCAAGTTTCTCATGCTTAAGGAGAATTGGAAACTTGATATTGCTCCCTAAGTTAACTGCCTGTACGTAACTTCCTGCACAGGAAAAATTGCACAAGTCGTCACCGTAAGCTTTGGCCCAAACAAGCGGCCTTGCTCGTCGATCCGCGACGACCGAAAGGGGGGTGTGACTCGGGACCCAGTCCGAAGTTGCATGATCCCGGGACCCGTCCCCGGTTGCAATTTTCGTATCGTCGTATCGTTTTTATCAGAAGCTCTTGGCCGCAACAAAGCACGAATCTTCCATTGGCGGCGTTTTTTGGTCTTTTAAATAACAGGAGCAACCGAGCTCAGTAATACCCCGCGCGTTCTAACGGTGAATCTTCAAAGCCACCAAACGCAGATGATCGGCGGAGGTTGCAGTTCCGCCTGAAGCTTACCGAGGCGGAGGCTTTGGGGGCCGTCCATTTGCTTGCAGTGGCTCCACCCCGGACACACGGGTTTGATGGAGCATCTCTGGTCAAGACGTCGATCTATGCCGGTATTTTGCGCTGTTAAGCCAGACTAAGTTATGAATGAAGACGTTTAAGCGTTCGAATCGGGCTGTATGTAGTTGAGCACCTTCCTGTGTGAGAAGCGCATGCATGCACATAGCTGCGCCAACTCAAACTTGGAACTGGCTCAGCAACTTGGACATTGCAGACATCCACTGCCATTGGTCTATATAGGTTGTGTTCAACCTCCAACAAACTCCAGTCTGCTGGTGATCAAGCGTCCGCACCGGTTTCTTGACGTTCAATTTGACTCCTGTCACCATGTGGTCTCTCGCCTCCGTTGTCACCCTCCTCCTCCAAGGGTTGCATGTAGCAGCCCAGACAACCATCACATCAACCGGCAATCCCATCATCGCCGATGGCTCCTACTACTCAGCCGACCCAGCCCCGTTGGTGGTGAACAACACCGTCTACATCCTCAGCGGTCGTGATCAGGCCCCAGCGAACCAAAACACGTTCGTGATCAACGAGTGGCAGATGCTCAGCAGCAGCAACCCAAACCCCGCTGGCGCCCAGTGGCAGTTCCGTTCCAACATCGCCCGGCCCGAGTCTATTTTCTCATGGGCTGCCGCCGGAACGGCCTATGCGGCACAGGTCGTGCAAGGGCCAAACGGGAGGTTCTATCTCTACGCACCCGTCACCCAACGATCGACTTCCAGCGCTGACCGCTTCGCCATCGGCGTGGCCGTCTCGAGCAACCCATGGGGCCCCTTCACAGATGCGCACCCCAGCGGCCCGATTGTGTCGCAGACAATCCCACAGGCGAACAACATCCAGAACATCGACCCCACGGTCCTGCTCGATGATACGGGCCGCGTGTATCTCTACTGGGGCACGTTCGGCGCACTTCGCGGCATCGAGCTTGCAACTGATATGGTGACCACCATCGGCTCAGCCGTGTCCGTCAACAGCCTCACAGGCTTCTTCGAGGCTCCTTGGCTCCTTAAACGACGTGGGACCTATTACATGCTATACGCCGCAAACAACGCCGGCACCAACTCGCCGTGTACGCCCACATCCTACCACGCCTGCATCGCCTACGGCACTGCATCCTCCCCTTTGGGCCCCTGGACGTTCCGCGGCGTGATGCTCGACATCGTCTCCTCAACCACATCCCACCCCGGCGCCTTCGAGCTGAACGGGCAGTGGTACCTTGTCTACCACACCAGAGACGCCTCCGGCGGCGGCCACTTCCGCCGCAGCGTCGCGCTCGACTACATGACCTGGAACGACAACGCCTCCCCGCCGGCAATCAACAAAGTCGTGCAAACCCGCCGCGTCCAGCCCGCTGCTCCCGCAACGCGCAACATCGCCACCCGCGCCGTCGCGAGCTCGGTGAACCAGACCCCGATCCAGTACTGGACAAAGTCTCTCAACGACGGCTGGATCCCGAGCAACCCGCTGCCGCCCGACTATTGGAGCTCGTACAACGGCAACGCCTCGCCGCAGACGAATACGCTCGTATTGACGTGGAGCTCCGCTGTGACGTTGAACGGGGCGAGGATGGTGTTTTTCGCGGATCAGCCTGCCGGTTCGAATATCGGCGTGCCGCCCCCGGCGAGCTGGCGGTTGGAGTATTTGAATGGGAGCGGTGCTTGGGTTGCTGTTAGCGCGAGCACGGTCTATCCGACGGCGGTTACGGATAATCCGTCGATTGTTAGCTTCACGCAGATTAGCACGACAGCTCTTCGTGCGGTATTGACTGCGTCAGGGGGTAATGGGCAGTTTGGCGGCGTTGGTGTGAAGGAGTTTGAGGCTCTTGCTCCGAATCCTTAGTGATTTGGCACTCAACATGTAGAGTACATACTTCATCATGAGTGGTGAAGCTACTTTGTATTGCATTTGATGTGGTGAAAGATTGTGATGCTTTGAGAGATGCAACGAGCCGGGGTATATCTAACATTGTGGTGATTCCTATATGTCCAATACTTCGTTGCGTTTTAAGTGACCCAAGTTTGGCTCCTCACGACTCGAGTAGATACAACAGGTCATGCTCTCAGGCTATAGCAACTCTTAGCCGAATAGGGTCTCAGCATTACCCCTCCTCACGGCCGTCGCTTCAGCCGAATCCCCATACAACTCATGAAGGCCCTTGTCAAACTTCACAGCACTAACAGCTGCAACGATCCACGGCGTAAACGGCGTGTCCGAACCAAACAACAGCTTTTCGTAGCTAACCCATCCCATCAAAGGCGGAATAGCCTCCGTCACCGGCCACGGCCCTGCAAGGTCAAAGTAGAAACTGCGCGTAAGCGTCTCCTTCATCCCGTCCTCTGTGAGATTGTGCTCTGGCAGGCTGTAGCTGATTATCCTATCCATCGTCGGGATGAGACCACCACCAGCATGTGAGAGAATCCACTTGATCTTGGTGAACCGATTGGGCACTTGTGAGTAGAACATGTCTTGGAAGGTCCGGGCTGTGTCGAACGGGAAGTCCAGCGTCGGTGCCCTGGGCAAGCGACTTGAAACTGGCCGGTTTAGGGCCTGCCACTCTGCTTGGGTGATCTCGGGGGCTTCTCCGTCAATGTTGTGTGTCAAATGCTGGGCTTCCGTGCATGGTGTGGTTGGGTGCTCGAATATCGTCACATTGAGTTCGTCCAGAGCCTTGAAAACTGGATCGAGTGCTGGGTCGCCGAAGTACATGCCGTAGAAGTTGGACATGAAAACGATTCCATCCGGCTTGGGGTCCAACTTAAAGACATAGTCAATCTCTTCCAACGATGCTGTGATGTCTGGAAGAGGGAGAGACGCGAAGAATCCGAAACGGTCTGGGTACTTGGCCTTGACCTCCGATGCGTAGTTGTTGACCTGGCGAGCGAGCTTCGTCGCGTTCTCGGTTGCGCCTTTCGAAGGTGGGGAGAGGTACACGCCGGGGCTGGATATGGACAAAATTGACTTTGCAATGTGGTTTTCATCCATGAATTGAATGTGCCGTTCTGGGCTCCATTCCTGAGGAGTGTTAGACAACTTCATTCAGCGGGTGACTGCGGTACTCACCGGAATACTTGGCATCCCGTCAGGACCTGGATTATGTCCGGCGTCCATCAGCGCTTGCCTGTAAAAGTCGGGCAGAAAATGAACATGAGTATCAATCTTGGACCTCGAGCTCGTCGCGGCCACGTTCCCCGCGAGAAGCGCCACGACGCTGTAATTGAAAACTGCAGAACACTTCATCTTGCCGAATTGAGTATCACAAACAGTAAAGCCATGGGAAAGAAACCTATGACACGAACGTTAGTCTTGTGGGGCACCAGTTTCCTAAATACAAGCCAAAAGCCACAGCATCAAACTGTGCCGTGCTACACAAGATCGTCCAACCTAGTGATACTGTCTCGGAGGATGCTGATACTTGCATACACGAGGCGCAGTGCTTGATTGCCCTGTCTTACGTGCATGATGTCACTGAACATCAACGCCCGAGATGTCTTGCCGGGGCTGAGACTACAGCGGCACAGCTGAGCTAGCTAGCTGAGAAGGCTAAAACAAGGTCATTTTTGAGCTTGGAAGGATTGTGGTAACGGCCAGCCCTGCCTCCAGGCTGACGCAGATCGCTTCGCGTTATCTAGCCGCTTATCTTAACGTTATCCTAGCATGAGAACCAGCTCTTAGTTACCAATCACATCTTTTGCACGCATGCATGAGTTGTCGATACTTGACTAGAGAATTTTAAGCTTCGCGGATGCACTGTTGTTTCTTCGACTGACCAAATGCTATTGCCATCCATCCTAAAGGTGCATTGGTGTCATTTCCGATCACTTAGTCAAAAACTACAACAACCTTATTTGCCTTGCCAGTCTTAGCCAGTTCCAGTGCTTCCGTCGCCTTTTCAAACGGAACCTGGTCGCTCACAATCTCTGCATACTTCTCCCAGTTCTCGATGATGTCGTCCGTCACCTCAAAAATCTCCTCGGGATATCTATTCCAAAGTGTTAGCAAGCCACTGATAACCTCAGCACGGCGGGTGATCCATATCTGACATACCCTACACTGAAAACGATGGTCATCTCGGTCATGACAAGCTCCCCAAAATGCAGCTCGGTCGGCTGCTTGTGAACACCAACAATACAGAATGTGGCTCCGTACTTTGCCATGCTGGCAACCTGCTTGGGCACGGGCGGCGCTCCGGCTGCGTCGAGGTAGATGTCGGTACCTGTGCGAACTCCCTGACTCCACGGAAACGTCCCACTGCCATGTAATTCGACCAGCTTTGCTGCTAAATCGCCGACTGTGGTTGAGTTGATAACTGCATCTGCGCCGAGCTGCGTCGCCTTCTCCAGCCGGTTATCGACAATGTCCACTACCACAATGTGACCCGCACCTTGCCTGCGGTAAGCCATTATGGAACCCAAGCCAATCGGTCCAGCACCGAAGATAACAACTTTACACCCAGGCTGAGGCTTCGTCTTCTTGACAGCTCGCAGCGCAACCGCCATGGGCTCGTTGAGTGCGGCAACATGCCACGGAATATGGCCAGGAATTTTGCGGAGCTGTTTCCGAGGCTCGTAGTCCCGCACGACAACGTACTCGCTCAGCGCGCCCTGCGCGCCGCCAGACCCGAGATATCCGTCCGTGAAAACCATTGTATCTATCACGACATGATCGCCGACATCAACATCGCGCCCGACAATGTCTTTCCCCACGGCGACTACCTCGGCTGCGGGCTCGTGTCCCAGAGGGGTGCAGTTTTGGCGGGGCGGAACACCGCCCACGGCCTCGAAAAAGGCGTCGGAGCCGCAGATGCCGCAGGCCTTCATTTTTAAGAGGATGTCTTTTGGTCCGGCCTTGGGTTGGGGGATATCGACCCAGCCGATTGACCCGGGCCCGATTACGCGTACCGACTTCATTTTGCTTTGATAATTCCGGCGCTGCTGATGACGATGATTATGTTAGTATCGATGAGCCTTGAAACGTCGATAGTTGCTCGAAAGTGGTGTTTGTCGAGTAGTGATATGGATTTTGCAGATCATTTGGAGAAAGTCGTCGGCTTTTATATCAGTCACACGGTTGATGTTATCCGTCTGATCTTGTGCTCCGTTTGAGTTACCGGACTTGGTAGAAGCCGCTGGGGCGAACGCGAAACCGAAGAAAAAGCTATAAGCGCATTCTTTCCTCGGTAAATTTCAACGATGAGGCTCGGATTATGATGTCTGTATGATGGCCCTAGAATATTAAGCATTCTTCAACGTGGACTCAACAGCGTGAATACCTTACATATAATTAGCACACCTATTATGAGATCATTGCCAAGACGACAGTGAACTATCTACATGGGATTATGGGCGTATATACATACTCTTCGAATACAGTTAAGCATATCCGAGACAAAACCAATCGCTTGCTGTCTCACCAACCGTCCCGACAGATCCGCCCCCACCATCCCAGACCTCCTCCGGTGATCGTGAACAACGCGGACCCCGCCCGGCCCCGCTCCCCTCCCGTTCCTCGGCCGGCTTCTACGCTTTGACAACAACTTTGTCAACAGTCTTTTCCCCGCACGGCCGCGAGACATGGTAACTGTCCTGAGTCGGCTGTATGAACTGGTTTGTCAACGGAGACCTCGGCCGCCGCAAACCTCGCTGCGGGGGGTTGCATCGCGCACCCGCATGCCTCTTACGACGATTACCCGAACCCCTTGTCGCGGCTCGACCTACCGGATTGGGTTAGCGGGTGAAATTCAATATGGTCCCACGAGCATTTTACCGATTGTCTGTGACCCAATGCCAAGTCTTAGAGATATCGAAACAATCCTATTCTGCTTGTTGTTCGTTTATTTTTCAATTTCTTTTCCTTTCCGTGATAAATGTCTCAACGATAAGCGCGGACTCTGCACCACTTGCAGTCGTATGCAATTACACGCTTTACAGGAGCGTTGTGCTGAGAAATGACGCTTGCCTCTCAAGTCTCGAGTGCTATTGTCCAAGGTCTCGTTCGCTTCCAAATATTACATATCCACACCAGCTGCAGCTTGACCTCGAAAGGAACGCCACCCAACGTGGACCGTCCTGCAGGGTCTGAACATTTAACCTTGTTGGGAGGGGCTATCACGTCGGCAGTGGCATCGGTACTGGGTCATCCCTATCTGTTGATATTTCGTTCCTATCGTGGTGGAGTTATTGGAATAATAAAGACTTGGACTCAACTGATAGCCAAGGTCACGATGAAGTATAAGTAAGCCTCTGTTTCTTCGACTTTCTGACCTCTTGCCATGCCCATCACCACATCATCAATCTCGCGCAGTAGTCAGTTCGTCCTAATTTGACCATGGTCACGTCCAGCCAAGCGTTGGCCTCGATAGGCTATCTTCTTCTATTTGCAGGTGCCGCCGCCGCTGATTTCCGCGATGTCTGTGATGCAGACTGCGAATCTGCCATCCGGAAGTCGCTGGTCTACGACACGAGCAACTGGGTCAACGTCGATGTCACCCTCGACTCTTTCTACTCCAACCCTTCCAACCTCTCGAACTACGCCGTTGGTGACCTCGTCAAATGGCAAGACATCACCGCGACACAGGCCTCCAAGATTTGGACCATCCCCGCAGGAATGTCTCTTTCTCGCTTCTTCTACATGAGCGAGGACATCGATGGCAAGCCTATTCCAGCAACGGCGTTTGCCCTACTCCCATGGGCAAACCCTCTCGGAAATGACAAGCCTTTCCGTACCTTGGCATGGGCACACGGTACCGCAGGAATTCAACGCCAGTGCGCCCCTACCAACCACAAGGCCCTCTATTACGAGTGGGAAGGGGTCTTCCCACTGGCCCAGGCGGGATATGCCGTCATCGCCCCGGACTACGCAGGACTCGGTAGCGATATCCCGCAAGGCTTCATGTATGAGGCTGGAGCCCTGCACGCCGCCGATGTTTCTCATGCCCTCAAAGCCGCACGTGCTGCCCTCGGCGACCGTCTCTCCAAAGAGTGGGCCGTCATCGGACACAGCGAGGGCGGTTTGACGGCATGGCGCACCAACGAGCGTGAAGCCCAAGATGGCAAGGCAAGCGGCGGCTTCCTCGGCGCAGGTTCGGTTGCGCCGGCTCTACGACCTCTCAGTCTCATTCCCGAGTCATTCGAACGTGCCAACGGGGGCCCAGTCGGCGACGTTGTGTCCGTCTACTGCCTCCAGTCCGTCTCTAAGCTGTACAGCTCCATCAAGGTCGAAGACTACGTCAGCGACATCGTGGCAAGCCTCATTCCCACTTCAGACAAAGGCTGCCTCCCCACTGGCGGTACCGTCTTTGGCCAGCTGACCGTGGAGCAACTTTACAAGAACACGAGTTGGCTCACACACCCCGATTTGGTGGACTGGCAGAGCCGCTACAACGGAGCTGGACCGCATGCACTAGCCGCTCCTATGCTTGTCGTCCAAGGTATCAACGATACCTTGACTTACTCTCACACTATGGAGGAGGATTTTGATGCCACTTGCAAGAGCTTCCCAGAGTCTTCCTCCGAGCTGCTCCTCTACCCTGAACTTGACCATGATCCTGCGTTCCAGGCTGCGCAGGTGGACTACCTGCCCTGGCTTGCTGACCGCTTCAACAAGGTTCCGGTGAAGCAGGGGTGCAGTAAAAGAACCATTAGCCCTGCTACAACACACCCTGCTTTGACGCAGCAAAGCTGGTCCGGCACTGTTCAGGCTGGCTAAGCTGAGGCACCGCAATCGTTGTTTCAACGCCATTGACACTTCGCATCCATGGACACAGATAATTCCTAACTGATGCCAGGTCAACAAGACGAATAGCAGCATTAGTATGCCGAAAGTTCGAAACCATTCTTCTTCTTGTACATAATGTTAATAACCAACATTTGATTCCTACATACAACTTTGGGTCTTTGTTTGTGAGCATACGCAACTGAGAACTAAGGTGCTGTTGCTCTACGATCACAATATGCCTTTTCCATTGATGGAAATGTGAAATCAAGAAGGTATAACGAGGCATTCATGGATACTGTAGAATACATGTAATAATATCTCGATTGTACCGGTGTGAATGGCAGTGCAAGAGTCGCCGACAGAGACGACGGATACAGCCAGAGGGGTAAGGTAGGACAGAGGCAGGTATCAGATTAGCAGAATAAAGAAAGGGAAACCACGGCGAATTAAAGCCCACAGTGTTATGCTTTCCGCTACTTGTCCGAATGGCAAACCCTTTATAGATTTCTTCAAGTTGCTACTCGTGGCTTTGCAGCCTCTGTTCTTGGATGCCTGAAGCAGTAGAGTCACCATCGACTCGCAATTGACGAAGTGCAAACACACGTCAACGATATTTTTGTTGTGAAAATAAGACATGGAGAGACAGGAATGTAACTACTCAAAAGTCAATGTTTCCATGCGATGCACCGGCTGCTTAGATGAACTCGATGGACTGTGTTGCGTTCATTGGCTCTCGTGGCGAATGAGACATGCAGTGCACCGTTGACACGGGCGTCACTGTAACAATGCGCTGTCCGAACGTTGCAGCCCTTAGCTGTAGCTCAACCACTGCGCTGGAGCTCGCTTGTTTCTGGGGAAGTTCCACAATCTTCAACCGATTGGCATGTGACGAACACTGCATGGCTGTCAAGTTTCACGTTAAACCCCATTTCTGGAAAATTGTCTAACGTCTGGTGTTCAATGCTGAGCACTTTTACAGCTTCGCCGAAGAAGCGCAATAGGTTCCGAATGGACCGTTTATGGAAAACACATCTTTATCGTTAGGTCAGTGCCGCAGGCGGGCATGGGAGCAATCGAACACAGTGATTGCGTGGATCATCGGCGTACTCATGCATCGCAGTTCATCCTGACTGAGACCGATGTTAGAAATTGGGAATCTCCATGAACCAAGAAAAGACAAGTTGTCAACATGAAGCTTTAAAGTAAGTCGAAGATACCTTTAGAGACTGAACAACACTCAGTGATGGACACTGATTAATTAATTGAAGTGCCTGATGGGCTGTTAGGAGGCACGTGAACGCAAAAGGGCCGGCAAGGCCCGAAATCTCCTGATCGGGTCCGCCGAACCAACTGATCAGCCACGCCCGCAAATTTTGCAATCAGCGTGTCGGCTCCGGAAAACACCAGAAACACAAGCAAAGGCAGAATCAAGAGAACCACAAGAGAAAGACGCGGAAGCGTCTACTAATCCTCATGACGTCGCGCTGGCCAAGTCAACTCATGCACGGCGAAGTCCATGATTCCATCCATCAATGCATCGTGCCGACCGTAATTGCTCAACGTACCATTTGATCTGCTCCAGGGGACTGGACAGGCCGCTTTCCAAGCTGCAAAATGCTGCGCCGCTGGACCCCAACGAATCAGGACGCATGCTTACGAACAGGGTCGCCGCCAGCCGGGCAGAAATCGTTCCACCGACAGAGTCACGCTGGCCAGATATAGGCCCAAAGATTCCGATCTGCCCCAAATCCTTCCACTTCCAAGGCTGTCGACACAGGACGAACCAACGGGGAATAGTGCGGAGAGCAAACGAGTTAGGGTCAGATCTTATCCCCATATGGCCCGAAGGAGCCTTACAGACAGGGGTTCCGGCGTCCCCAAGACCAAATTTGACAGCTGCTGAAGAGCCACCCGCAAAAAAGACAATGACTGGACCGCGCCATTGGGACGCAATCACACCACCGCACCACCAGACTCGGCCGGACACCGCACCACCCTCGAACTATCAACGAACAACGCACGAAAACCCAAAGAAGCCAACCACACCACGCTCGGGAGAAGCAGGTATGATCGATTTTATAAATGCTTCCACCATGACTGCGATCAGAGAACCGGATCTTAGATGCACTCCAGTCCACATCGACCACACAAAAAGCAAACATCTCCAGTGTTTCAATTACACAGCATTCGGCAATCTCTCTCCAGTCTTACACAGACACCACCACCAACCCACACCTCAACTTCAACCCACTAAACAACCTTCGAAATGGTCAACCAACCCACCAGAATTCCCACCACCTCCCCGGCTGTTGCCAGGTTTCTGCCTGCTGCCATCACCGTTGGCGTTGGTAAGCCTCCCAATCCTCGTAAACAACCAACTTGAAGCATCCTGCTAACGTTGTTGTCACAGTTTCTGCCATCGCCATGAACGTCCGCTCGCAACTCATGACTGAGTCACGACAAATGGACCGCTTCTTCGCCAAGTACAGGGACCCCCAGAGCGAAGCCGCCCGCCAAAAGGTCTTTGACGGCGCCGTTGAAGACCCCCGCAAGAGCTGGTTCAACGTCCTTGGCTGGTGACTCTTCGATGATTAGAGGAGACGGATTTTCGCGATACAACACATTTACTGGGCGTTATTTCATGATTAAGTTTTGGATATCACGGGATGGCAAAGGCGTCATGCATCAGTTTGGCTCAATACAACCACCTAGAGATTTGGATAGCAAGGGAGGAAAGCACAAGGGCAGAGCGGAGTAGCCAGACGGAGCATTGATACCAGCCACACCACAATACATATTAATTTGGAAGAAAAGACATCAATCAATCTTGACATTCTTACAACTCTGGAACTTTTCGTCTATAAGGGAGCTCTGTCCCATATGACACGCGAGATGCGATTTCTTGGCAACCTCTCCTTATTGGTGGATGTCCCTGAGTGTAACCAGACATCCATAAGCAGGCTGCGGCTCGAAGCAGAAGATAAGATCAAACGTGCTGCAGTTTTCTGTGACAATGCCTGAGGTTTCAAAATCTCACGTCCGTCTTAATCGATCTTGATTGGGCACGACTTGCCAACCCCTCTTCGCCATGCCCTCGTTTCCCCTCCTCAACTTCGCGCTGACATCGCATGAAATGGCATTCCCTGCCGTCTACTGCTAACACACGACGCCCTCGGCTACTGCAAGCATAAGAGATATTGGCTCGTTTAGTGAAGCCGATCTCTGTTTCGGCCCAAGGGTCTCTGCGATTATCCCCTTCTATTCCCTCGCACGGCGGAGCCAAGTCCTCAGCTGACGAAGTGCATCTTCAACCACAAACATGGAGGCTGTTGGCGTCGTCGCCAACGTCATAGCCGTCGTTGATCTCTCCGTAAAACTCGGAACCGTCTGTGGCGAATACATAAACAAAGCTCGCAAGGCAAAAGAAGACGCCCAAAGACTCAAAGAGGAGAGCGAGGCCCTTGCCCGGATTATTGGCCAGGTCCGAGACCTTCTCGGGGACGCAAGCACGGAAAAGAGCCATACGAGACAGCTCAACGCCTCTGAAACGTTTCGTCAGGATGTAGAACGATGCGAGAAGATGCTATTCGAGTTGACAGAGAGACTTGACCCGGGCAAGAATCCCAGCCGGATGAGAATGATCGGAAAATCACTCAAATGGCCGTTCACAAGCACTGAAGTGTCTCAGAACATTGACAGTTTACGCCACTGGAGGGACTGTTTCTTAGCAGCCTTGCAGGTAGATCACATGTATGTGAGGTCGTAACCATGCGTTCAAGCGAAGTTCTAACCCAGCCAGGCATCTCGCGCTTCAGCGTGAAGACGTACAGGACATCAAAAGTCTTCCCAGTGCCCCAGGCGCCGCTTTCGATTCTTACGATAATGGTTCAACGCGAGTTTGTCATCAAGACACAAGACAAGACCTCCTTCGCGACATTTTGGAGTGGGCGGACGACCCGAACGGAAGGTGCATCTTCTGGTTGCGCGGCCCGGCAGGCACTGGAAAATCCACCATATCAAAGACAGTTGCACAGATGTTTGCCGACAGAGGTCAACTTGCTGCAAGCTTCTTCTTCAACAGAACCCGAGAGGGCCGCAACACGGCCAAACTGTTCGTTACAACAGTCGCAAGACAAATCGCTGGAAGGGTTCCAACTCTCAAGAACCTTATCCTAGGAGCCATCAATGAAGACCAGGACTTGCCGGATAAGTCCCTGGAGGCTCAATTCTCCAAGCTGATACTGGAGCCACTTAGTCGTGTCGAACTATCCGGCGTCACCTTTCCTACCCTGATTCTGGTCGTCGATGCTTTGGATGAGTGCGGTTTCGAGCATCGTTCGCAAGTTGATGAGAGTCTGGAAAGCAGCCGACTAATTATCAAAATACTTTCCAGACTAGCTACAGTATGCAACATCAATGCTAGAATCTTCTTAACTAGTCGACCCGAGGTCCCCATCCGGCTGGGGTTCCTCGAGGATGTGCCAACCGGTTCTCATCAAGACGTGGCACTGCACGACATACCCGAGCCCGTCATCGAGCACGATATTCGGGCATTCATAGAGAGTGAACTAGAGGCTATACGTGTGTCTCACGCAATTGCTCGAGACTGGCCGGGTAACGATGTCTTGACACAGGTCGTCAAAGCCTCTGTTCCACTTTTCATCTACGCATCAACCATTTGTAAATTCATCGACGACAGAAGACGAAGATTTAGACCCCAAGCACAGTTAGATAAGGTCCTGCGTCAAAGCGAAGGCTTTCGGACTGGTATTGAAATCACATATAGGCCAATACTGGATCAACTGGTAGAGGATCTGGAAGGATTCGAACGCAACGAGCTACTCGCACGGTTTCGCAAGGTCGTAGGCGCCATCATATTGTTAGCGGATCCACTCTCAATCACTTCCCTTGGAGAGCTCTTGGGTATCGAGAACGACGAGATCCGCTACCTGTTGAACAGCCTCCACTCCGTCCTGGATGTGCCTGAGGATGACCAGCCAGAACACTCAGTCAGGCTTTTCCATTTGTCATTCCGAGAGTATCTGTTACAGCCCCACTCCAGCGGCGATCAAACTTTCTGGATAGACGAAAAGTCTACACACAAGGACCTTTTCGCCTGTTGCCTGCAATTTATGGTTGATCAATCCGGCTTTGGGTTGAGAAACGATCTTTGCCGACTGGATGACCCGGGAGTTCGAAGAGACGAGATCCCTCGCGAAAGGATATACCAGCACATCCCTCGGTCTCTCGAATACGCATGTCGCTACTGGGTCATGCACCTCGGAGAGTCCGGTAGTGGAATACATGTCCAGGACGCCCATGAGTTCCTTACACGATACCTGCTCTATTGGTTCGAAGCAATGAGTTGGATGAATCTCCTTCACCAGGCACCCAGAGATTTGCTTATTCTCGAAGGCATATTCTCCAGCTATGAAGATAGTATGCAGTCAGAAGCCTTGCTATTTTTGAGAGATGCCCGACGTTTTCTCGTCGAGAAGCACCACGCTATAAATCTCGCACCATGCCAAGTCTATGTGTCAGCTTTGCTCTTTGCACCAAAGGCTTCCTTGGTCAGGCAGAAATTTCAATGTGAAGTTCCAGACTGGATTGTCAAGATGCCAGAAGTTGCCGAAGACTGGGACTCCACAAGCCGAACTCTTCACCAGTACAAGTCAGTCGTGAAAGCTATGGCCTGGTCTCATGACGGACAGTACATTTCTGTCGTCACCTTTGATGAGATTGATGTCTGGAATGCTTCTTCTGGAACCCTGGAAAGGAGTAGAGAGATGACCCAGATCAATTGCATCACCTTCACGCCATGCGGGACGATTGCTATTGGCTTCGCATCAGGTGTAATCCTTCTCTGGGATTGGTTAGTGCGCTCAGAAACGACGTTTTCCATCGGAGATGAAGACTATCATGTCTTTTACTTGTCAGCGGCAACGACCGGCAAAATTGTCTGTGCAACGAGTGATGGTAGGGTTTATCTAATGAGCGAGACATTCAATGTCATTCACAGTTGGTATACCTACTGGGATCCCCGCCCGGACGACTTCAAGACTAGATACTTGGGCATTGGCCTCGAACGGGTCGGTCGGGTTCACTTTTCTCACAATGGGGAGTTCATAGCTCTCATTGACAACGAGCATTCAAATTCGATTAGCGTTTACGGTGCGGAATCACTCAGGCTCATCCATCGTGTTTCAGCTCCAGAACACCATATCTTCTTTCAGGTCACAACATCAGATGGAGGCCTCCTACTTGCAACGGTTGGATCGTTCAAGAAAGACCAGCTCTTCGATGAAATTATCACGGACGCCTTTGTATGGGACCTCAACAAGATGGACGGCCCAGCATCGCAGGATGCCCCACTTGTCATTGATTCAGGCCGCTGTATAAGTCCGACAGTAAGCCAGAATGGTATTTTAGCATACGCTGGCAAAGGTCAGGTCCTCAAATTTCGGGATATCTTGAATGGTTCATCAGAGCTTTCTCATGCATTGAAGCTTGGCAAACATTTCTCTTTTTCCCCGGATGGACAGTACATTATTACGAACTATGACGCAGTGCAAGTTATTTCTATCAACACTTTGGGATTTATCAGCGACGCTCCACGCTGCACCATCGACAACGATGATAATGTTTGTCTAAATGCCCTGTCTCTGTCTCCAGATGGCTTTCGTCTGGCGGTCATATCATCGCACGGCAAGGTGACATTGTGGTACACGAGTGACAACAAAGACATGGGATACGAAGGGGCAATCATTGACACACCATGGGAAATTCCAACCAAGCAACGTCATTGTTTTGGAATTGCCTGGAGCTCTAATGGGACTTTCCTCGCAGTTTGCTTTTCTGCCGGCTTTGTCGTCTACGAGTGCTCGGCCCGCCATCCGGCTGTATTTAGGGCTGTGAGCTTCGAACACGAGACTACCGGCAATGCCATCCGAGAATTAATGTTCTCACCTTGCGGATCTTGTATTGCAATGATCGACGGAAATACTGAAAGCGTTTCCTTATGGAATTTTCCAGCGTGCACTATCCGATGGTGTCAAGCATTTCAGGGTTCGGATTATAAAGCTTTGATGACAATCGCATTCAGGCCCGATGGAACCCAATTGGCCATGGCACATGGCTATGAGGCAAGACTCATGGATTCCAACACCGGTGCTATAATTTGGACCACAGGCCTTGCGTCTCTGAGTGTGTATTACATTCATTCCATAGCGTTCAACCCATTTGGGACCTCGATTGCAGTCAAGGCGTCTTTGGGAGAGCGCCAGCCGTCGGATATTGAGGATGGACCGGAGCCATCAAGCACCTCTGAACAGACGTGGTTCGGCGAGCTATCTACATCTAAAGAGGAAATAGGTGTTCCTAAAGAAGGTGGATGTCCACGAACACGTCTATTTGCCCTTAACGTCTCCAACGGAGTAATTGTCGGCACCATGAAGCAAGGGGGGGGGTTCGAAGAAGACGTTGAATATGGGCAATTGGCCTACACCGTGGGAGATCAGTTTGTGATCAGTCAAGATAACTGGTTTTTGAACACTGACACCACATGTAAAGTGCCACGGAAGCCAGCTGCACAAATCCAGCCTTGCAATGTTACGATGGTGAAATACGGCTACGAAGAGCGATGGTTGGCTAAGTGCGGCCGGAGATTGATATATATCCCACCCTCAATTTCACGCCATACGGCCCCGTGGAACTGGGTGTTATTCCCTCATCGCTTATACGGATACGATTCGAAAAGAGCGGCACCCTTCATGATCGAGTTGACTTGTGAACAGTGTTTCTCGCAGGATTCTACTACATTAGATGATTAGGATCAGGAAACGGTCGATGGGAAATTGATACACGCGTTTCAATTCATTTTAAATGTGTCCGATTGCGGCCAGGGCTGGAATCGCGGCCCATTGAAGTGGCTGTTCATTGCCATATGGCTTTACATCTAGTGTAGGACTAAAAGACTTATATTATTAACAATCACGCGTGACTTCCTGTTCGGGTGGTCTTCCCTTTAAGAATATTACACAGATTCAATTCTAGTATAGTTGTCTGTGGTCCGCCCTTTGCTCCTCAGTAACGCCACACAGTAGATAGACAGAAGGCATCTGCACTTAGTACAAGAACTGGCTAGATAGCATGTTATAAACATCGCCAGCAGACCCGTTTCCGAAAGCTTGATATATCAGAGTGTCATTCATGCCGGTCATTTCGTCCCCAAAGTTCGCAAGCTCTGCCATTGATTCCTGTCCTGGTTCCGCGTATAACTCAGAATTCCAACTCTGAGCTGTACTCCGAGTCCCGAAATCGGGTGGGCTCAATAGATCCTTTTCGGAACCCCTGATGCTTAGGCCGTCGGAGCCAGCCGTACCAACATCATAAGAAGCAAGGCGCCAATCATGTGATTCCAGACGAACATTGCGCTTGGAAATTTCCTTATCGCCTTCTTCTCTGCTGCTGTGTTGAAGCATTCGGGTCGTTCTTATGCGTCCCAACATCTTCTCCAGTCCTCGTCCGATATGCTTTAGCATGTGCTTGTCCGAGACCACTGCATCTTTCAAGACAGCTATCATCCTGTCCAGGAGACGAGATACATTAGCATATTCGATGTTGAGTCCCATTATGCTACCCCACTTAGCAGCAATCTTCATTAGGAAGACGCTTGCAAAGGTGATCATGGTGTGCACGTATAGGGGTGTTCCAACCAATGCTCTCCTCAAATCCTCCTCTTCCTGAACAAGTGTGAGAATGCTCGATGCAGCTGAGATTGCCATGTTGGCGAACTCTTTGCGCTCGGTGGACAACTTGTCGGAATTGATCGATACACCGCGGATCGCGAGGGAGTTGATCTGAAGCTTGGCGAAGTATGAGTAGAGAATCACTCCCTTATTTGTGAACTGTCCGATGAAGGGGCTGGGTGGCTGTCGAGGGTACCATCGCATACGCCAGTGATCAACTTCGACGTTGAAGCTTCGGAGGGTGTCAAAGTCGGATTCGGCAAGCATTGCTGCAGATATTTTCGGCGGTCCTCTGACTCCTGCTGACTCGTTGACCTTTGTGGCTTTCCCATTTGCTGCACAAGTCCCTTTGATGGTCGAAAGAGGGCGTTCAGAGAACCGTTCGTAGACACGCGTCAGAATCTGCATCAGGTTGACTTGACTGAGGATTCGGATGTCGAGCACACCAGAGAAGGGGCTGGCTAGGAACAGTTCATACTCTCGTAATTGTATGCTTTCCGCGACGGTAGGAGGTCGACCATAAGCAATACTAAAGTGACGGTCACAAACGTAAAGCATATACCAGAGCCTTGCCCTCAGGAAGTGTTCCTTGTCGCCCTCGAGCGCGTGTATAAAAGACTGGTGGATGCCGAGCTCAGTTGCAATACGTATAGCATGGCCTGTCAACTTCCAAGAGTGCTCTGATAGCCAGAAAGCTGATATGCATAAGCCGCGAACATCATCGACCGAGTGATAGCGAGAAAACATGGAGGATGACACAAGCGAGAGGAATTCGTTGTAGCAGACGTCGAAGATGTCAGACGATGTTGGTATGTGCAGTGCAGTGACTGTCAGGATGGTGGCCGCGAGGAGTTCGGACGATCTTCGTACTGATGTCCATGATGGATGAACCTGTTCGAGACCAACCCAAAGGTAGTGGTTTAGAGTCCTGAGGAAGCTGGGACGAATGGCGGTCAGCAAGTTGGCTTGAAGCAGTGACCGTGAATACAATCCGGAAGACCTTGAGAAAGAGAGCCAGGGCACTTCTTACATGTTGTACAACTCCTCGGCCTTCTCTTCAGATATGGCTCCGCGGGATATGAAATCGTCCAAGTGGCTGTCGTCGGGGGGTATGGGTTGAGGGGTGTTGGCTTGGTTACTTCGGACATTCCTAAGTCGCGTCACCTCGTAGAGACTACCCATTGGTTCCTCCAATGTCTCAGGGCCGTATTGTTGATCATCATCAGACACTGGGTTGGGCGAATCCTCGCGGGTCATGGCCAATCGCGTGTTGGCATCCCGCCCCCCTATTCCCCGCGCGGAGCCATCCCGCGCGGACGACGATTTGGGCGGACTTAGGATTCTTGGTGTTGTCCCAACATGTAATTCATGCCGACTGTCGATTTTCTCTGTGCTCTCTGATTGCTTCTTGAGCAAGGGATTCTTGATGGACTTATTATTCTGTTCCCTGCCCAATACAGCATCCAATGACTGCCTCATCTGCTGGATCTCCTCTCGCATTGCATCGATCTTGTCTCTTTGGATTGTCAGCATCGGCGTTCACAAGGACGTTGACTTTGACCTCACTCGTAATTTGGCGAGCTCTGAGCTCGCGACTCCTCCGAGTCGGCCTGGGCCATATATGTTCTTTTGATGATGCAGTCAACCTTTCGTCTAAGGCAATGCCTGCACTTTCTATCACCAGGAAAAATCTCGCATTTCATTTTCAACTTCTTGCATTCAAGGCCTAACATTTTGTTAGCATCAACATTCGGAATCTTTGAATAGAGGCACTTACAAGCCTTCGGCTTTCTTCCAGGCCCGGAACCCACTCTACGTCCAGGAGGCAGCTTGACGGCTTCGGGGCTTGGCTCATTTGCTGCGTCATTGTCGCTATGGCTCGAATTCGATGCCTGTCGTAGAACGCCAGATTTTCCGTCATTTTCCGTCGATGATGTCGAGTTCATCTTTGTTGCTGTCGTGATCATTGTCGACGAGGGCGTCTTACAGCAGCTCAATAATCAGTGGGAAATCGGGAAATCGCCCGAGCTTTTTAATGGTCCAGACGAACGCCACGGTCTTAGCTATCTACGCTATCTGACTAATTGCCTAGGCTTACAGCAACTTAGTATACGTATGCGGAATGGGGATCGTGTTGGGGATCGGGGAGCTTGCCCTGTGCTGAGGCCGCATGGTTTCAAATTTCCAAGCGATCTTTACATCAAGACGACTGGAGTATACAGCTCTGCGCCCGCTCATGACGCTTTGTGCACGAGGACCTTTGCCCTAGGCGAGCGGTGTTTACCGTAGAGGCGGAGGTCGTAGTGGGCTTGGCGATCTCCTACACTCGTTCTCGCTAGAGTCTATGTGGTCCTGGCCAATCGGAGGTCTTGCCTGTAATGTAAAAAGTGTTATTTTCATCAGTCGGCAGCGATAGTTCGGCCGAGGCTTGGCCAGTGCTCGTCTATAGGGCGAACGTAAGGTCTTTTTGCCTCGTGAAGTGGGCGGTGTTCCCCAGTGAGAGTCCACAGGAGGCAGATTCGGCATGCCGATTGGGTTCGGGATGATCCCCAATTCGAGCGGCTCAGCAAGTTCCTCGGTGTGACTCAATCTTGCTCCATATTAGAAATCTTTCTGTGTTCTGCCAGAGCTCCAATAGAGCAGTTATGTGGAATTGTTGCCGCTGCAATGCAGACCTGGGCGCGAGGTGTGATTGATTCTGTGCAATCGGAGACAAGATCCCAAAAGTTCCATGATAAAGTCGCGATAGGACGTCTCTCATCGGTCAGTATGATGGAGGCAATCTGCAGAATGATAATCTTTTGAGTCTACAATCTGTGTATCCCGTGCAATGGTTTTGAAAGATGTGCGGCTTGGTGATAGTGTTGATTCTGATTCATCGTAGCATTTTCCCGATTTTCCGCCCGATATTCCGGAACATGATGGTGGCGTTCTACGACCACAGACATCGTGATCCGCGACTGATCGAGACATGTCTGTGCCACAGACCGATCACGACTGATCGCGGTCTCTGAAAGCAGCCTGGAATCAAGAGCAATTATTTGTGGCGCCTTGTGGAATTGTTGTAGAATTTGTAAAGCGGGGTTTTATTCCTTTCTGCATTGCAGTAAAATTTGTGATGAAACCTAGACCTGGGTATTGTCTATAACGACCACGACCTTTCCCGCCGAGGCTCCAGATTCTGACAACTCATAAACTTGACGCAAACTCTGTAGCCCGTGGAAAACGGTTGTCTCAACTTCCACATCTTGTTCAACAACAAACCTCACTAGATCAGCAAGCTCTGATCGACTGGAAAGATTAGACCCCATCACCCTGATGTCTCTAAATATCATCTCTTCAAACGGAAAGTTGACTGGCTTGGGCTGCGCCACTTCAACCACTAGGCCGTGCCCTTTTGTAATGATCATGCCCGTCTCAAGAGCCGGCTCGGCATCGCTAAGCACAATTGTTGCATCGCACAAGTCGTCGCCCTTACCGGCACCCCGTGACCCTATCAGACTTTGAACTTGCTGCACCATCACGTCTTTCCCGGGTCTGACATCCACGGCCGAGGCACCAGCCTTTCTTGTCAATTCCAAAGCAACATCTCGTGCTTCAATGCCCACGACGTTGATGCCCTGCTTCTTCGCAATCTGAATTGCAAGATGGCCCAGACCACCTCCACTGCCAACGATCCCGAGCCATCCCCCTGGCTTGACTGCTGCTCTCTTGACAGCGCGCCAGCTAGTGCATCCGGCACAGGTCAGCGGGGCCGCCATGATGAAGCTCAACTCATCCGGTATTTTGACTGCAAAACGGTCGTCTAGTACGGTGTATTCTGCAAAAGCTCCAGGCGAAGAAATGCCAGCGTAGCCCTTGCTGAACTTGCAGCTAAGTTGGAACTCCTCTGGACCATTGCAGTCCATGCAATTGCCGCAGGGGCCCCGAATCCCAATGGCAATGATCCGGTCACCGACGGCAAAGCTCTTGGCAGCCTCCCGGCCTAGGGCAACGATCGTGCCAGATGGCTCGTGGGATCCTGGGAGGCCGCTCGGCTTGTCGTGGAAGACGCCATTCAATACCATTATGTCGGTATGGCAGAACGATGCGACCGCGACTTTGATGAGGATATCATGGTCATCGAGGGATTCGGCGGAGGGAGCGGGAACATCTTCTATCGACCACGGGACACCAAACTTTACAATAGGGTCAGTAAATGAAAATTGACAATCATAGAGGACAGTTCGGAGCTTATTACTTGTTTGACCACGGCAGCTTTCATCATGTTGTCAATGGGAGCCGTGCTCTTAACCGTAGGAGACATTTGTTGAAGTTTGTTATGGCCAAGACTGACACGAAGCCTCAAACTAAATGGTCTTGCCTTCGATGTTCTTGATCTTTAAGCATCAGATGATGTCTTTCGGCAACTGTAAGCGCATGCGATTTGGGCTTGGCTGCAGGCATTGGTCCTACAGGTGACGTCGCCGGTGCCGACCCATCAGCATTAATAATGTTCTGGACACGGCGATTAGGCCCAAGACTTTCACAATTTGCATACTCGCTAGCAATTGACTTTCCCCGCGTGGGCGACAACCTGTCGAGTAAGCAAAGCCCGTACCGTCTGAGTCGGGGACAGTGCCGAGGGTGACTTGGTTGCAAAGGCCTCTCGGCCGGGCTATCGGCCGAGAGGTTTTGTTGTCTAATTGGTGAATCCCCTGTTTCTCGTTGATGATCGGTCGTATTCTCCATAAAGCCCGAGCCAATCACCTTTGGTCAATTGCGAGCCGGCCAATCGCCAATAAGCTTCTTAAATCCGAATGCGATCAAGTGTCTTCCGGCTTGTCCCACACAGACTTGCCCGTCGCCATTTCCTTTGAACCTTGCTTCTCAACATACCGGCTTCGAAGTGTTTGGTCTAGTTGAGTACTACTCGAACTCATCTCTGACTCACGTACATACTGCATCTCCTGAAAGATCCTAGAAAGCGTTGATTTGTCATGGTGGACGAGACCCGCGTGCGGGGCGGATCGAAGCCCAAGTCGCGGGCAATTGTCCGAGTGAAGACAGGTTGCAAAACCTGCAGGTAAACCCTGTCTAGCTATCCTCTTTACAGCTGTTACCAGGATTCCTAACGTAGAGCAGAACCCGCAAGATCAAATGCGACGAAACGAAGCCTGCCTGTCGAAAATGCATCCTCACTGGCAGAACTTGTGATGGGTACGGGATCTGGGACCGGGGAAACCGGCAAACAAGATCCACAGCATCAGGTCTATCGATCTCCATATACAACACCCACACTGGAGCCATCAGCCAGCTATCGGACTTTGAAAAGAAACAATTTGAGTGGTTCATCAGGCGAACCACGATCAAATTGACCGGGGTTTTCCACTCCGGCTTTTGGCACAGTCTCGTCCTGCAAATGGGCTCAACCGAGCCGGCAGTGTTGCATGCCATGCTAGCACTAGCGTCCGCGCACGAGATTGAGCTCAATGGCACCACGGTTGATGAACACAGGCCTCTAGATCAAGGCACCAGGGAATGCAATATCCTACGCCATTACAACAAGTCCATTACCTTGTTAAACACAAACCTGTCTTCGCAAAATACGACGTCTATCCGCGTCGCCATCGCGTCTTGCATACTGTTTGTCTGTGTAGAGTTTGTGCGACGACGCTTCGAAACCGGATATGCCCATCTCAGAAGCGGACTCAAGTTACTTGAACAATTACCGCGTCCATCGAAGGACCCCAACTCCGAAATTTGCCCCCCACCAGATGCCCTAGTCGAAGCGCTCCTGCGCCTCGATGTCCAAACAAGGCTCGTCAAGACCGCCGCGCTACAGAACGCGAAACTTTCTGCACAGATACCACGCCTAGACATCACAGTCTTGACTTCTTTCGTTTCACTTGACGGGGCGAGACAGCAGTTGGACACCATTCTCTCAGCCGTCTACGAACTACAGGAGCGAGCTCGGCGCCAAACCCCGGAAGACAACGTTTCGCACGCTTTTGAGCTCCTCAGTGCCCAGCAGCGACTGAAGAATGACCTCAGCGTCTGGCTCCAGACATTTAATCGCGTCAAAGGCAGCTGGTGGACGAATTTATCATCCAAAGAAAAGGTTGCCTACCACCTAATCCCGATCTACCACACCATGGCCCAGATCATTGTTGATACGACTCTTCAGCCAGCAAACGAGTCGATATATGACAAACACCTCCGGCAATTTGAGTCCATCATAAGCCTGTCGCAGAGCCTACTGACCTTCGCTCTGCCAATGATGGTTGAAGAGATGGCATACGGACTCCATCCTGGTTTCAATTTCACGGCCGACATGGGCATCATCCCTCCCCTCTACTTCGTTGGCCTGAAATGCAGAAACCCTTACATCAGGCGCCAGGCTATCGGGGTTCTGGCGACAGATGAACATCAGGAGGGAATATGGGACGCGCCAATGGCCGCTGCAATTGCTTCAGAAGTCATGCGGCTGGAAGAAGCCAACTTCTACGACGATCTCTTTTCCAAGAGCTTCGACGCCGCCTCGACAGCGCCAAAGAAGTGCAAGAGCGGGGCACCCGTGCCGCCAATCCTGCCAGAAAATTGCAGAGTTCGTGACATTCAGGTACACTTGCCAGACGGGGCTGCTGATGATTTAGTAATGAGCGGCAAGTCCATGCGCTCCAACGGCAGTCTCGAGTCTTTCACAAGACGTTTCAACGTGAAGGATAAAATTTGGCAGTCTGGATTTGGGTGGCCTACTTCAGCATCTTCACAACTGTCCCCTTCTTCTGATTCTTCGAAGGCTTCATACAGACTTGATATTGGCCTTGATTTCTTTTCATGATTTTCGAAACATCTTTAAAACACTTCATGTTCTCTTTGGGCGTATAGCGCAAGAGTCATTGTCTATCAAATAGGCGTACGTACTATTTATCCGTGAGGATATTACAACATATCCAGCCGCTTCAAGGCTCAATACCTCTAAGCTCTGCTTCCGTCCAATCCCACAACTTTCTTGCGAGATCCTCGTCTTTTGAAAGTACGCTGCCTTTCCCTGGAACACCAACAGGTACATAGTACTCCCCATTCAGAACGCCATCTGCGGTGGCGGCCCACAACTGGTTCTTCGCCCCTTCCTCTACACTAACTCCGATCAGAGGAACCACAACTGCCTGGAACGCCTTGATCAGAAATGGCCCACTCTCTGAACGTTGCAGATCCGTCTTGACGGTTCCTGGATGGATCGAGACAGTAGTCCAGTCGGGGCATCGGCGAGCCATCTCACGCGCGAACAGCAGGTTCGCAAGTTTACTTTGGCCATAGAGAGCGTTGGGAGAGAGTCCGCTGTTACCTGTCTTTGGCTTGAAGCTATCGAACTGCAGCCCTCCCGACGGACCAAACTTGTGCGCCACAGAGCTGACCAAGACAACTCGGACCTCGCTGCTCTGTGCAGTTTGGCGCAATAGGGGAGTCAGAAGCTTGACGAGGAGGGCGTGGCCGACGTGATTGGTACCGAAGTGCATCTCGTATCCTTCCTTGGTCACACTGCCGACAGGCACATTCATGACGCCGGCGTTCAAGAGGAGTATGTCGAGACGAGTGGCGGATGCCAAGAAGATGCGAGCGGCCTCTCGGATAGATGAGAAGGAAGTCAAGTCGAGTGGGAGAAATTTGACGGACACAGAAGGATCCAGTTGCTTGATTTCATCGATGACGGCTTCGGCTCTTGACGCACTACGGGCTGCAAGCCATATTTCTGTGGGTTGGTGTCTCGCCAGGTCCAAAGCAGATTGTCTTCCTAGGCCGTTGCTGCCACCAGTGATGAGAATTGACTTGCCCTTCAAAGACTTGATGTCCTTTTCCGGTGACCATGTAGTATTGCTGTGCGGCATTCTGCAGAGACTGTTGGCAAGACTTTGAAGTTGATCGGGAGGAGAGTGATGCAAATTGAAGTATGTGCTACAGGAGACTTCCAAGTGACGGCAGGTTGACGGACACATATATCAGTAAACTACGTGCTGTGTATAGACTTCATTTTCCGTTGCTCTACAGAACCCGAGTACGGGTTCCCTGTCTTGCTTAACCCCGGTAGCAGACGGGCGGAGACCGTTGAAGTCAAAACTAGCCTCCCTACAGCCAATCACGGGACAGGGATTGCGAGCGGACTATGAAAGCCACGCACAGACAGCCATGATGGCGGACTTTGACTGTTGCAGCAATGTCCGCCAGTGGTTATCACAGGTCAGATTATGAAGGACGAACGCACTGTCTGTTGTATGATTTCAATTGGTTTGATGCTAGTCTCTGTGGTATAATGCTCGCTCAATAATCCGGAAACAGAAGGAAAACTCTAGGAGGTATCATTCTTCGTCTTCATACGTCAACATTCATGTGACCGGCACATGAATATGCAAGAAAGGTAGATCATGTCCGTCAAAATCGTGTTCGCGTAGTTTGTGTTGGTGTCGCTGCATCAAAGATCAAGCTGCCGGCTTTACCAGACAGTCGCCACAGCAGCAAGAATCGCAGACCAAAGGAGAATTCTTGTCGGGGACAGAGAGCTGGCGAAATTGCCCTTCTGGCCCTCTTCAAAGCCTCGCTCATCTCCACCCAGGTAGTAGGCCCCAAGCTCGGTGAGGCCACCGTCGTCGTCGAAGAGCGAAACCTTGTTGCCAGTCCACGCGTTGGCTTCATCCTTGCGGAAGGCGCCAAACCACGCGTAACCGTCGACGTAGTCAGCGTCGTCGAGGAACGACAGACTCTGGTTCATCATGGCAAAAGTTGCATCGGTGTCTTGCTGCGGCAGCGCCATTTCGGTGATCCAGTACTTCAAGTTCGGCGAGGTCTCGTTGTAGAAATCGCGCAGCGATCCGAGCCAATTCTGAAGACCGACATAGTCACCGTACCAATGCACAGCGATGAAGTCGGTCGGGCAGCCATTGTCGTCAATGTCGTAACACGACTCGTTGAACTTGCGCAGCCACTCAAGACCTTGCGGAGAGCCGGTCACTACGGGGTGGCTGATGTTCCACTTGCGGGAATCCGAGTCGCGGAGCGGGAGGATGTGCTCAATGTAGGCTTTGGCGGCATCTTCGGGGTCGATGCTGCTGCCGCCTGATCCGGTCGTGCCGTCTGGCTCGTTGAAGGCGAGGAGGTGGGTGGACGATGAGGGGAGGTTGTTGAGTCTTGTTGTGAGTGACGAGTCCTCCGCTTCATCGACACCGTGGATGAGGGGTACAAAAGGAATTGAGTTGTTGAGATTGGTGGCTGGCCATGTTGACCATGTGTAGTACCAGCTGATCAATGACTCCTCTGAAGTCAGAAGTTGGTTGTCGGAGGCGTGGTCGTCGCCCTTGTATGCAAGACCTCTTTTTGATGATAGGTCTGACTGTGCAAGTGCCGATGAAGCAGCTAGCGAAACTAGCAGAGTCTGTGTCGTTCGTCTCATTTTTCTCTCAGTGGTTCGTCAATTGCTGGATCTCGCAGATGGTGGTTGCGGGGGATGATCCTTGTGTGATTAATGTAGGTACACACACGGGATCGGATGCAGCCGACAGAAGTCTGGGACCCTTCATGCAGATATAGTCAATTATTTCCAAAACTACAGAAACGCCATCAAGGCCAGCGCAGGCCAAATTTCCAAGGCCATTGCTTTGCAGGCGCTTCAGTCATTGACCTCATTCGATGCCATCACACTCTTGGCGGGGGCGTGAGAAACATGACGTCATGCTCCCTTGGTCGGAGGAGTTCTTGGTTGGTGATGAGTTGGCCAAGGTTAACCCCCTGGTCAGCCACACCGCAAGACCCCTAACGCCGACAGGAGATTGGGCGAACAGGGGTTCAAGCGAAAGTCGTCATGGCGGTTCGGGAATCCAGACTCATGTCTGGCAAGTGGTGCCACCCTGCGTTGTTCATGTTGGTTCAACAGGCTGGCCGTCTGCCAAGTCGGGGCTTGCTGAGAACTTGCAAACGACCCCGGCTCTATCATTTGGACATCTGAGTCATCCTTTGGAAATGTGTCGAAGTTCATCATTGTGTTTTCCCAGGAACAGCGCAGCATGACCTTCCAAGGCAATCGCAGGTTGCCAAGATAACGTACGTCCTCTTTTTGACATCTCTCGACTTTCTCCATCCGTTAGAAGAATAGGCAGACGGTCTCTTCTTACTCTAATCAATTGAACTGTTCGGCGAATGAGGCCCAGTCCTCCGATTTGAAGGCCCTTGCGGACTGTTCAGACCCGGGATAAGTGGGTCTTAACGACGGTCTAGCTCCGATAGCCTCGGCGTGCTGCCACACGGCAGATATTATTGTCGTCCCCGATTAGAAATGGACGCATTCACGTTTTTAAAAACATCAGCTGAACTCAGCTGTGGCCAGCTTGCGCCAGCTGTTCATATTAAGACAGGCGTGAATCTGATTCCTCGTAACGCTGTTGATTGGTCCGCGAAGCGACCATCATAAGCCGAATGGCCGGTGCGCTCCGAAAACAAATCCTCCACATCGTCAACAACACATGAGACAGGTGCCTTGAATAAAGCAACCCTCAAAGATATACTGCCAAGATGGAAAAGCCTAACAACGGCGGCCGCTTGCGAGTTACCGAGCTGCCTGCGGAGATTTTGAGAATTATTTTGTCTCACTCAGCCGATATTGGCAGTCTGGATTCGACAGTCCACTCCTGCGGCACCTTGTTTCACGCGTTTTACGCCTTCCCAGCGCCCATCGTCACAGCGATTGTCCAGCGAGAGATCGGGAAGGACTTGCTGTTTGAAGCTGCGCGCTTCACAAGAGCCGTAGATCTCTTGCGGTCTCAGAATCGCTTGGTGGTAGCCAACGTCTCATTCGCCGAGTTCCTACGCCGAGACCAAGAAACACCGCATCATTTCCGCTGGACTCTGCATGGGGCCTACTCTGTAATCCAACTGCACGAGATCGTGAAGTCTTCATCATTGAGGATCGAATCAGAGATATTCGCACGTATTCAATCCATCCACCCCCACGTGGAGATAAAGCCCGCCTCCAGCACAGAGCTCCTCCGCATTCAGCGGGCGCTGTATCGATTTGAGACCTATCGAATCTTGTTTCCTCAGCATCAGCATCTTGAACACGATTACCCAGACGATGGCTCAGATAACATGGACGATCTAGATGGTGGGATGAAGGCGCAAATGCAGTTCCTTGCTGGCAGCCCTCCATGGGAGAATGAACAGCTTGGCTGTATTTACGAGTCACTTTGGCGCCTTATTGCCCAAGGTAGGCTTGAGCTCCATTGAAACTAAAGTTCTCGATTTGAAGTTCATAGGTGGAACCCTATGTTCGACAAAGCCCCATTCGTTTCATTGTTGCTGACCAAGGCACAATCTATGAATAGTGTACAACGACGTGGCTCTACACAGCATCAAAGGCTGTCGCACCGCTCTTTACTATGGGGACGCACGCATTGAATATCTACTAGCCCGAGGGCTAAAAGAGATAAATGACATTTCACTTTGCAATACCTGGGCGGAACGACATGATCTACTGGGATTTGACCGACCTGACGAACCTGTCTGCGACTTTGGCGGCTTCTTACGCGAAACATTCGAATACTACGAAGGCCACTGTTTGATCGAGTACTCTCAAATGACGGGGGCCCATAAAGACACTCACTATCCAGTCGGCCGGGACACAACTGAAGACGGGCCACGTAGGACCTGGGACTGGGTGACCCAAAGATGGTCAGGGCAACCCAACTTTGAAGCTCGCAAGCGAATCGTCCTGGTAATGGAGACAGCTCGTCTCAGAGCCTGCGGCTACGTCTTTTGGGATGAAGAACGAATGGTTGAGCTTGGTTGGATGAATCCGACATTAATGGACTGGCACAGCGACGCGCTCAGATTCATTGACAACCCGCCAACATAGCATGAGTTTCGACGAAGTTGATTTAGGGGAAGTTCTGTCAGCACCTTTTGACAAAGGGCTCCGTGGGTACTAGAGCGATGGAGTAGGCCATATGATTCCCATGTGGGGGAAGAGGGATGCATGGCTAAGACCGTGGTTGAAAGCAGAAGAACCTCAAACCATCATTATTCAAGGGCAACAGGGATTTCCATGCGTAAATGCGGCTCACAGTCTTATCTGCCTCCATTGGGTAGGGTGGTACCAAAACGGGTCAGCTGGAGGAGGGTCAAGAGATGTTCACCCAAATAGTTCCATCGGTATGGTTCAATCCTTCGCGTCTTTGACATTAACGCGAAGAATTGACATGGACAACTCGCATGCGACCCAGTTTCTTATGCTTACATGGTTACTTGATTCGCGATGACAGGGTTAGGCGCGCGCCTTCGATGCTTCTAGCCATTTTTGTTGGCCTTAGCCCATCCGACGCCCGCGTCTAAGTCGCACTGAAGTTCCGCCAGCACACACTGTCGCACCTTCTGAAAGACTGTTGGGGGCTAGACGGCGTACAAAGTGAATCAGCACTGTCCTCGACATCGAGCATGTCGGTTTCGGTTGTATGGCCCGCCCGGGAATCAATGTTACTCTCTTCTGAGCTGCCTAATAATGCGGAGTGTTCCTCCCTGTACGCACGGCTGTAGGGGATAACGGCCCTAAAAGGTCGTGCTGGGCTCCGCAAAGAGCTCGGGAAATAAGAGCTCGCCTATTCAATTGCCGCCTCCCGTCGCCAAGCGAGCGTTCCTGTCGATCAGACCCTATCGTGCACTGCGATTAAATCTCGGCAGTGGCAGGCAACACTCATGAAGCCACATACAAGCATCCCAAAGTCCCTTATTGTGACTGCCTGAAAACACAGCTAAAGGTTTCCCTGCATAGCCCCCACGACGGTGGACCAAGCTGACATGTTTCACGCCTTTAAAATTAGCTTATGGGGCCCCTTGATGCTTACGGGTTGCATTGATGGCCGCTCCCAAAGGCAGTGCCATCCCCCTCAATAAAGTAGCCGTGGATTGATTTTAGACTTTGACATGGGTGCTCTAGGCGGCTAGAATCTAAGTTGAGGATCCTTCGCCAGGCACAGAACCAAATATTCTACCAAAGTCCCTGTTCTTCACCAAAGAAGCTCGATCCTTCGAGGTTCGATCCACATCAGCCCCCAAAATTCATCTAGACATTAATTAATCTGCTAGGCATCGCGATTATGGCCGACAGCCTTACCGGGTTCGAGACTCAAGCAGCCATTGTGATCTCACCACCAAAGTCCCCTCCACATCAATGTCGTTCAAGTTAAATAAGATCAGTGTTGCCACTCCTCATCCTTAACTCTCACAGATCAACACAGCCTCAAGCTTCAGAAACCATCACATTCTTTCTCAGGACCATAATCCCTGCTTTCCCTCTTTCATTAGCCTGATACGCCACAGATTAGTCCTCCATCATGAAGACTTCTGCCACTCTTTTGGCCATTGTGGCCGCTTCCAATGCCTCGCCGCTTGGTGTCTCCGTCAAGCGGGATGCCTTTGATAGCAAGGATGCCATGTGCAAAGGATGGGATCTCACAACCCCCGAGGGCGCCGACAAGCTCTGGGAAGATACCTACTCTGGAGCATCGCTTGACCTCTTCATCAAGACTCAGTGGGGTAAGTATGCAACTCTCTATCTTGACATGAACCATCATGTTAATTGATGTACAATGAACAGAACACGAGAACTCTTGGGTGAAGAACCTCGAAGACTTCGTCTCAGGTGGCACATCGGGCAAGTCTGGTGCCGCCGGCTGCTCGGCACTTGGAAACGAGTGTAAGCCCTTGAACGACATGACATGCGATGACCAATACGACGCATACGGCAAGACCCCTATTGGCAAGAACTCCTACTGGATCTTCCAAGCGGTTAAGGGCATGCATGCCAAGTTCAACGAGCTGAACCGACAGCTCACTAAGGAGACTCTCATCAGCGGTCTGCAAATCGGCCAGATGGTGACCGACTTCCAAGGAAGCCAGGATGACCCTGGCGACGTCCTTGGATGGCTTTCTGCCGCTGCTTCCATGGGTGGTGCGATCGGAGGCCTGGTTCCTGGAGCTGTAAGTCTGCCAAATTCTGATGAGACTGTGAAGCTTTCAACACCCTTGCTAACACATTGCCACAACAGGGAACCGCCATTGCTGGTGGCTTCGGTATGCTCAGCGGCATCTTCTCTGGCCTCGCCTCCTCCAACAGCGCCGACGAGATCGACCAAGGCTCAATCTCCGCCGCCCTGGCCGACGCCTTCAAGGCAGCCACGGGCGCTCTCGAGAACACCCTCCGCATCGCCACCGGTGGCGGCACTAGCCAGGCCGAGTACGACTCGCTCCCGGCCCCCAAGTGGGACACCTTCCAGAGCAAGATTACAAAGTTCTACAACGGCGGCTGGTTCCTCGTCGACGACGACGAGCAGGCCGTCACCGTCGCCCTCCAGTCCATCAGCAACAACATCAAGCCAAAGGTCGCCAACGACGTCATGAGTGCCGCCAAACTCCACCTCGTCGCCGACAGGCGCGACAACGTCAAGTCGCGCGAGGACTGCGGATATGCCCCTGGGCGCCAGTGGATGGCCCTCCGGGATGGCGAGGAGTACTGCTTCTACATCATGCGCAACAGCCCCAACCCGAACCGTGACAACGACTGGGTTGAGGTCGAGGCTGAGATTTACGACAAGATGGCTTCGTACGGACTTGGCAACCGTGACCCGTACTACCGTGCCATCATTGACTGCGCGCTCAACGGTGGAGATGACAAGGACAAGGTTGACCTGAGCAACTTGGCTTGGGGCAAGGTTCCTACGTGCTACTTCAACCTGCCAGCAGTGTTCATCGACAAGGATACCAAGGTTGGCTGCGGCAGCCCCTTTGACAACCAGGACTGCAACTACATTGCTGCTACCCCAATCTCTTAGATTATTATGGCGATGCGAATTGTGTTTCTTTTTTTTAACTAACATTGTTTCTCTTCTCTTGGACTAACCCTCCAACTCCGTACATACCTTACCATATCTTAGCTCAAAAACTGTACAGTAATCAATTCCAAGCGAACCAATACCCAGAAATCAATCCCAAAAGCTATCTCAGTCTACGAAAATGCCTTTCTATGCGTCTCTGCCGTTTGAAATCTGTTGTCGCCAGATTTGTGGCACTTCTCGACGCGTTGTTTATGTCCTAGGTGCCCCTGAAGACTGTCATACCCTACGAAATCATGCGCTGTCTTCTGTCTCGCGTCTCCCGCCCTAGTAACACCCAAAGTTAGATCCATGAGTCACAAGGATAACCGAGAGCGGTCATATACTTACGCCTTCCATGTTCGCCCAGCTTCTTCTAGGCGTTCAGCCGCCCCATTATGCCATTCACGAGTTTCCGGTGGATTCCCACCATACTTCGGGTTGCCGCGTTTCTTTTCCGCCTTGCCCTGAGGGTTGGCAGTCTTCTTGTACGGTTTCATTCCCTTATCCAGAGCTTGGGCTCGGTCGTCAAGATGCTTTCCGTGTTCGTACTGCGCACGGAACGGTGCCGTCGGGGGCATTTTGGACACATCTAGGGCACCATTCGTTCGCAGGTGCTGTGTGTTGTTGCGATAGAAGTCGTTGTGCTGCGAGGAGCCTTTGTCACTCCACACAGGGGCTGAGCCGGTATGAGTGACGGGTGCGACAGCAATTGAGCTGGCTGGCGGGAATCCACCAGGTTGCTGAGTCTTTGACGGGTTTCCACCGGGACCCCAGGTGGGATGTTTCTGTTTGGAACTCGAGGAACCCATGATGTCTATGATGAAAATGTTGTTGATGATATTGAAAAAGGTTGTAGAAGAAATCAAGTAAGTTGGGCTGATGTGTAGGTATGTTGTGCAATGCTCCTCAGTTGCGTGTGGATATTGGATCTTTTCATACTTGAAATACTACCGCACTCACTGTCTACTCTGTAGCTGGGAAAACATTTCGGATGTGTTGGTTTGGTCGACCTTCAGGTAAGCGCCGGTCTCAACATGGCGCGTTGGCCAGGTTTGTTGACCGTTTGGCCGTTCAAAACCCACCGCCCCAACTTGAAATTGTCTGGGCAATTGACGGGCAAGGTGCGCAAAACTTCACCGTGGTAATATTTGATGACAATCCTAGATTCGCGTCCATGTTGGTTCGTGTCTGGAGCTGAAAACCTGACAACTTTGCCCGCGCGCTTAGGCGACCTTATCATAGTCACTTCTGGAATGAGCGCGTAAAGTGAGGCGCAGCCAACATAAAAGCTGTTGGTCGAGTTGGCGGCATTGATGTTTAGCCGCCAGGGGACAAAAGCACCCAACAGGGTCGGACCGCTGACTTTCCAGTGGTCTTAAAATCGCAGGGCCATAAACTTCTCCCGTTTCAACATTCATCTCTAAAACTCACCTCACGCATCCAAGTTGCCGGCCCAAGAAGAAGCTTCGAAGCATCGTAATGGCAGACTACAGCGGGCCCTCAAACTCGCTTCTTCTCTCTTCTCTCCCTCAAGAACTCTTAAGACTTATTTTATCGCATTCTTTCGATTTAAACAGCCTCCTATCTGCAGTCGCATCGTGTCGCACATTGCATAGCGCATTCCACTCGTTTCCGACCCCATTGCTTGACTCTATCTTGTACCGAGAGCTCGATCTTCCCTCTCGTCCCGAAGTCATTCGAATCACTCGAGCACGTCGACTGCTTGCCTCCGGTCTGTCGCAGCCGGAGCTGACTGAAGCTAGAAAGCAGGTTCTCCAGCGCGACCCGGAGACGACTCTCGACTGGAGCCTTTCCGAAGGGATTGTCGCCGTGCAGCTGCGCAACAACGTGGTAGATCTGTCGAAAGCAATTAGCAAGCAGTACTTGAATAACCTTGCGGCTCACGTCAAGAAGGGGCATGAGGAAGCACCTTCTGACGCCGAACTTGACCGCATCCAGCGAGCACTATATCGATTTGAGACATACTGCAACATCTTCCCACCTTTAGGTGCGTATTTGTATCCAGCGGACGATGTGAGAGAGGAATGGACCACGTTCTTCGAATCCTCTCCGTCCTGGGAAATTGAACAAGTTGGAAGCGTGCATGAATCGCTTTTCCGCCTTGTTGCACCTGGTATGTACTCTCTGATCTCAGTATACCAAGATCTTGAATCACATGTAGAGTACGCTGACGTCGAGTTCAGTCTTTAACGATTGCGCCCTGCACGACATATCATGGGGCTGGGACGAAGTGAGATACGCTTATGATTACGAAGATGGTCGCGTTGAGTGGGTATTGTCTCGTGGCCTGGTGCACGTCAACAGGGTTTTGCATGCCACAAGCTTCCATGAGCGGTGGCTGCTTTTCGGCGGTCGCAAAGTTCTGGAGCATGACTGCAACTGGCTATACCAAACTTTCGAGACGTACAAGAATCTTTTCGTCGCGAATCGAATAGGCTGGATGCCTAGTAAGACACGACATGTCAAATCAGAAGAGACGGCCTTGGAAGATTCCATTTCTCCCGTCGAGAAGATTTGGGAGTGGTCTCATGGGGAATTTTACGAGGACTCGGGCGACGGGAGATATCGGTATGACATGGCGATGGAGGACCCTTTCAGGCCGCTGAGGGCATGCGGGTATGTTTTCTGGGGTGAGGAGAGGGTGAAGCGCATTGGTTGGTTTGATCAGAATGTGGATGACCTTGAACTTGACGTTGGAGAAGAAATTTATAAGAACTCGCCTTCTCTTCGACTAGAAATACGGTCTTGGATCATTAGATCCAACCTTTTTCAGGAAGGGAAAACAGGCTACTGGGATGGGGACCCGGAAAACACAGCGATTAATCCTTCACAAGAATGGAGGCTTGCGGAAGATTGAATAACACTCAGGTGCCTAGAGATATGGTAGGGAAAGACGTCGGTGAACAAGCTTTGAAAACCAACTTTTTCAACGGCAGGTGTTGCGGTGATATCAATTGTACTTGTTGGCCCAAGTCTTAGGCTGGCGATCGTGTATGGATAGGTTTTGCGTTACGAGGCCGACACGAATGGTGCTGCGCGGTGGTTCGTTTGATTCGGGAAGTCCAGGTTGCAGCGCTTAGAGATACTTCCGATTTGTAGCTAGAGACTCCGGGATCATCACCGCTAGCCACACGATGTATGCATGTCGTTGATAAATTCCGTTTCGGTATTGTCCTGGAACAAGTCGAGCGCTAGGGAGACGTTCCACGAGTCGTGGCCCCCTTTTGGTTGGCTAGGTCAGTTCTCGAGCGGCGGGCCAATAGCCGCCAATCAATCGTTGCAACTGGCAGTGCACTCGCTGACCCTGAAGCGAGATAAGTACAACAGGCCCTTGAACCAACGTGCTGCGCACCCAGGCTCCTCCCGTTACAATCATAAGCATTTTTGACGCCCGTCAAAATTTGAGCGGACGATAGCACGGCATCCAATTCTTCTACCGGAGGCCAGTTGCTCTTATTGTTCTTACCTCATGGGCTTTGAAGGATGATTTTGTCATATTCATCTGATCTGTTACTGGGGTGAGAATCTCGATACAACGACAACTGACGAGTTACAACGACGGAGGCTGGAAGTCATTCCATTTAGGGAAGGCATTTGATGTAAAATTATAGTCTCATGCAGCTTCTGAACTCAATTTCACTCTCAGGTCCTAGCCTTGAGGAGAAGCAATGGTTTCGTTTATCGAGACGCGCCGTCTTAGTCTTTACCCCCAACTGTGAACCACCATGTAACCCCTCGCACCTAAGTAAAACAAAAGTCAGTACCATTCTTTTGAAGCTTTAATGTGTCGTCATGGTGATATAATCGTGTCATACGTACGTCTATAGACTATAGTTGAGAGATCTACTGGCAGATCATGCCGACACCACCAACGGGGGCATAAGTGCTCTTGCAGGTTGTGCCAGAGCAGCACCCACGGTCACCAGGACCGCCACAGTTGGCTTTTCACTGTTAGATTGATCGTCGAGGCGAGTTTCGGAGATTCTACAGAGACTTACCACCCTTGGAAGCGCAGTTGTCCTGCCTCTGGACCAGGCTGACATCGACAGATGCAGCAGAGGCGGCGGCAACAAGGGTAAGCAAAAAAGCGAGAGTGAACTTCATTTTGAAAAATGGTGAGATGAAAGAGAATGATTATGGAACCGTACCATCCGGTCTCTTGGGCGAAACATACGAGCTTATATATACTCACTCGCTCGCCTTGCCACCGTTACATTGCCTCTCTGGGTCGCTTGGCTCCTTGATTGGAATTGATAGTAATCACCCTGTTGATCATGTTGCCGAGAACACCAAGCCGCGACCTGGAGTTGTGCACACGGGCTACATTACTCAAGTGAATCGTCTTGAGCTAGTTGTCGCCTATGTTCTGAGCTGGTCAGGGGTCAACTGTCTCCATGCTGAACTCAAATATGTGGGGTGCCGTCGCGTTTGCTCGTCAGCGGAACCCCGCGAGTTTCGTTCAGTTGCCATTCATTGTATCATGTTAACTCACTGTAATTTAGTGCCCCCTTGGCCCCATATTCTGTTTGGGCGTTGCCGACAAACATCTGATCCCACGCGGACGAACCCGTTGTCTGCGCGCTGCTCGTCGTCGAAGACGCCCGTTGTAGACGAGCCACGCTTTACGCGCTCAGACGCCTGACTCGCAAGTGTGATAATTAATCCAAGAGCTCCAGGAGCTTCGTAAGGATTGTGAGATGTGATTGCACCTCTCGCTGGTGCTCCACCTCAACGTGATCATCGCGAGGACTTGACTGGTGTTAGACTAGTAGTGACGAAAGGCAAGAAGTGTTTCATGGAAAGAGGAAGCATCACCAACTTTCTTATATAGCAAACGCTTCCATGCTTGATGCGGAATAGATAACACGATGCCAAGCTTCGGGTCAGGGTTTTAGGGCCACCGATTAGCAGCGAACGGGGACAACCTTACTAAGGGCCTCTTGAACCTTAAAATGCATCAAAAGCCTGAAGGTTGATTGCGATATTGATTTAATAAGTTTATTTGAACCACGCTGTGTCTACCAAACCGGGCCTCAACTGTTCTCGAGAACATCTCTGGGATGCTGATTTGGGAATATCATTATTCGTGTTTCGTAACTCCTCAGCTTCAAGCGCAAGCTATGTTCCGTACATGAAAGTGCGTCTTTGGTCCCCTCTCCGTATCTCAGATCTGGCTTCAGCTGCAAACTGAGTTTCATCCCACGTTTCAGTCTCAATTGCGCGCTTTCTGTTCTCCATTTTGTACGCGTATTTCAGGAACACCAGACCGCAAATGCCGCAAGCCATAATGACCATCGTTATGATCAGAGGTACCTCATCTAGCATTTTGTCAGTCTGGAAAACCTTGAGTACGTGGTTTGATCAATTGACATACATCTTGGTGCGTACTTGCTCTTGAAAATCTGTCCCGCGATGACGCCGGCAATGTTGGACCATCCATTTATCCCCATCATGACGCTTCTGGTGCCTTTCCACGGCGTGTTTCCCGCCAGCCACACTGCTAGCAGCGGACCACCAACGAAAACGCCTGCCATGCAGACATGAGCAAAACCGTATCGAAGCTGAGTGTTGGTTGAAGTAGCCATGACGATGCAACCGATGATACCAAGACACATGCCACCGACCGTATGCATAGATCGTTCTTTGAAATGGTCACTCAGCCAAACCATGACAAGAAGACCGACAGTGCCACTAGAATGCAAGTTAGTGCAACTCTAGAAGAACCCTTGTGGGTTAGGAAAGCGACTCACACTACAAATGGGGGAACACTCATGAGAGTTGCCTGGATGCCAGAGTATCCCATGCCCTGGACTATCAAGGGCAGAAATGTCGTGAAAGCCGTTACTGGAAGGACAGTTGTGACGTTGCAAACCACAACGAGAAGCTTCTTCCAGTCTTTCGCCACGTCAATGAAATCCCGCTTGACGACAGAAGTGCTACCAATGTCGCCCTCCTCTTGAGTTCCTGCCAAGTCAATCTCCATTCGTCGTATAGCGTGAGCACGCTCCTCGACTGTGAGAAACCAGGCGGTTGAAAGGTTTTTAGGCAGAATAAAGAACGTCAAGATACCAAGGAAAACCGTTATAGCGCCTTCAAACAAGAAGACCACCTGCCATCCGTGTATGCTAGGCGAGCTGATTTTCAGAAGTCCATACGCCAAGACTCCGGCGAATGCTCCCGCGACGGAGTACATACCCGTGAACATCCCGACTCGGAAGCCGACATCATACTTGGGATACAACGTGGACATGTAAAACATACCGATCTGGGTGAACCCAGACTCAGCAGCACCGATCAGAAGTCGAAGGGCAATAAGCGTGCCACTGCCTCTGATGGCAGCGTGACACATGCAGAGTCCACCCCATGCAATGAGCTGAAGTCCCAAAAAGTACTTGACGCCAACGCGACGCGCCAGGATCACCATGAATGGCTGAAGTGGCACGTAAGTAGCCGAGAAAAGTGACAGAGAGTTTGGGATATCGTCAGGAGAAAGGTTCGCATCTTTGACAAATGAGCTGGTCGCGACGAAGCCAATGTTGGTTTTGTCAATGCCACAGAACTGGTTTGGGTGAGCTCGAGATAGATTGCGTCAGATGTCTTCGCTATTCTACTCACGATGAATTCAATCGCCAAAAGACTGACGACGATCAAGTCAAGTTTGAGGTTGACCCTCCTGTCGATCCTTTTCTCCTCGTCATCCACGGGGCGATAGTGGGTCTGGTGCTGTTGGGCAACATCATTCTGTACAATTTCGAGATGCTCAGGGTCAATATCCCCTTTATCATGAGGTAACACACGGCTCATGATGTCTCGAGGCAAGCAGATAGTTCTGTGGTTTGAGCTACAACACTGGTCTATGGGGCTGTTTCCTTTTGTACTGAGAGGCCTGGGCATAAAGCTGTGCCAGGTTGATCACACAGTGCCTCCACACCAACCCCAGATTTTCCCCGGATTACCTATTAGATTAAACCCGATCTTAGACAGAATAAATCATCTGCATCTACGTTCTCGCTGTGCTGTTCAATAGGTTGTTCGGATTTCTTGGCTATCGTTTTCCCACATCGGCCAGCACAACCACCCCACTTTCCCACCCACTAGGCCACCTACATCGAAGCCGAGGATGACTTCGCTATTCGACGACCCGAAAGCTTGCAGTGGAATGCGACTCAGACAGTCCCGGATGTTATAGTGAAGGTCTGTCAATAGGTTTTGTCTGACTTTAGGCCGTGCTGCAAGACATGACCTGGGCCGCTGGGCGTTCAACTTTTGCTCGATCACGTCTCCGGGCCATTCCAACCATACAGAAACCAACGACACGCTTTTACAAACCAAACATCGTCTCATCTTTTGGTCACGAGATTTCAACGATTGGTATGGCTGCAATTAGCATCTCAGAGCAGGCCCAAGGGGGCAGCATACCCTTTGACATCGATAAGTCAGCTGCAGTGATCAGCAACGACCCCGCCAAGATCTATGAAGAGTACCGATATCTTCGAAAAGAGTGTCCCCTGATTCACACCAGTCAGTATGGGGGATACTGGCTTCTCACGCGGTACGATGACGTTAAGCGGGCAGCTTTAGATTCAGAAACGTATATATCAAGTGTCAGGGCAGTTGTACCAAGCGATCCTAGAGGCATCCGAAGACCGCCTTTGAACTTTGACGCACCAGCTCATACCCCCTTCCGAACTGCGCTTGAACGCACAGTGAAGCCAGCCCGACTGAGACGACTACGGGAGCCATTGCAGAAGCATGCGGAAGCAGAGCTCGCGCCTCTAATAGCCCGGGGCCGTGGAGACATCAGTGCCGAGTTTGCAGCGAACTTTGTTGCCCGCATGGAATCCGAATGGTTGAATCTCGAGCCCGATGTTGCTCCAAAGCTGGCTGTCACTGCCGCAAGTTGGCTGAATGCTTGGAGAATGCAGGACAGTGAGACGGTCACGACAAATTCACAGAAAATGTATCAAATCGCACAAGAACTCCTTGCCGACCGACGGATACATCCAAGGGACCCAGAAGAAGACCCAGCGTCTTCACTACTCCTAGAGCGAGATGCTGAGGGTCATCCTTTGAAGGAGGAACATCTCATGTAAGGCCCATGCTATACCAACGCATTGCATTTCTCACCGTCTTCCAGCGGGTGCCTCCGACAATCTTTGGTGGTGGGTGTTGTCGCGCCCCCTATTCTCATCGGCTCCATATGCAACCACCTTTCCAAGGACAAAGGCTTGCAGAAAAGACTAAGGGAGGATGAGTCCCTCATACCAGCCGCACTTGAGGAGTTCTTGCGACTCTACAGCCCATATCGAGGCTTTGCGAGGACGACTTCAACGGAAGTCTGTCTTCATGGCAAGACAATACATCCCAAAGAGCCAATCACCCTGTGCTATACAGCGGCCAATCGTGATCCAGAAGTATTTGAGAATCCCGACGAGTTTATTCTCCATAGAGAGAACATTGCATCGCACATGGGATTCGGAAGGGGAAGACACAGATGTGCAGGCATGCCACTTGCAAGATTGTGAGTCTATCAGCCATCACGGAATTTGAGGAGTTCGTATTGATTGTGTACTAGGGCTCTTGACATTGTCCTCCGCGTGATACTTCGAAGCACGAAAGACTTTGAGGTGGACGGTGAGTTGCAGTACTCAAGGATGCCGGAGTTGGGGATTATTAGCTGTCCCATGAGATTTGTTCAATGACGGTGGTTGCGAAGTATTCGGCGACACTGAGGGAGACAAATCCGTCCAATAGTTTTAAACCAGTCGGACGGGAGTACGCAACACTCCGTCTCGTCTCAGTAAATGATATACAGAGCAATCATACCAACCGTACGAATTTTAACCACGCTTGAATTTCATTTTCCGCATGGTCATGTCTCGTGATTAACTTGTTTGAGCAGAAGGTTCAAGATATCCGAAGTCTAGATACCGATATCAAAGTTCCCCTGACTCAGTCCACAAAGGCGGTTGCTCTCAGCACTGCTCTCAGCACGGACTTTTCAGCACCTCGACCTGAACTTCTTCAAGGCACAATCATATCAATATCGCTTAGATGAAGACCGTAGCAAATCGGCTGTTCGTGTTATGATGCCCCGTAGGTTCAGTAACCCAGCTCGATGGTGGGAAATGTGGAGTTCACCCGTGTGGGAGAAGTGGGAAAGACCACAGTCCAGGGTGGGTGAGTTGCCGTGGGTGAATGTGGGAAAGGGGTACCCTTGTCACCATCGGCTCTTTAGCGTGATTTTCGGCATTTGCTGCAGTCTGCACAATTGTCGCGGGGGCTGCGGGGAAGTTGGGGAAAAAGCTCTTCTTCTCTCCATCAACACATTCGTAATAGCCACCGCACATGTGGGAAATGCATATGTGACGCAACCGCCATGGCCGACGAATCCCGAGAGACGGCCCCGGTTACCAATTTCGAATGTTCCTTCTGCCGAAGGAGGTTCACAAAGAAAGAACACCTCAAGGTGAGAGGCTCTTAGCAACTGTTGCCGACCAATGACGTCCTCAGCTGAACTTTCCCTCAGAGACACGAAAGAGCCCGTAAGTCGAGCGCGTCAGCAAAATCCACTGCGCGCAGGGGATTTTCTGCCCGGTCTTCCAGATTCTGACCTCCACTTAAGATACCGGATCGAGACCTTTCAAATGCACAATATGTGATAGGTGCTTTTCCCGTGGAGATGTGCTCAACAGACACGTCAAAGGACACAAGCAGGGAGCCCAGCCACAACTCACTCCGAGCGGAGTTGCAAGCGGTGCCTCATCCTCAGTTCATCCTTTTCAGCCCCCAGCCGGGAATGTTGCGATACACAATGTGGCGCCTCAAGTTTCTCAGGCAATGCATGCCAGCGTAGTGTCTGCTTCAGACCATGAGGGCAACAACCACAATGTTGCATCTTCGTCTCTTCTTTGGCCCGACTCCGAAGAACTCTTCCAAAGTCTGATGTCAGCGGATGGGATGACGTGGGATCAGTCTATGCCTGGATTAATCCCATCGGCCTATCAGCCCCAGGATGTACAGTCTGCTGGACTCAGTAGTACGGCCGACGGCGATGAGCTTGCTCTCGCAGAGGATGGGCATCGTGCGGTACAGACTATCAATGGAATACTCACGAACACGGTAAGATAATCTTCCGGATGACCCAAGTCACCGAGTATTCGATGTTGAAAGTAGGCCCGCTGACTAAGGTTTGTCGCCCTCAAGCTATTCAATGTTACCTCTCATGTAGAACTCTCCGATTTGACCCCTCGGTTCCTCGACAGCAGCCTACATATGTTCTTTACCAAGTTCGTACCCATACTTCCGATCATTCATCGCCCTACGTTCGTGTATCGGGACTGTTCAGCTCCACTCCTCTTGAACGCGATCGCTCTTGGTTCTCTGTTCCTCGGGACAGAAGATGCCACAGTAAAAGTGAGCAACTCAATAGTCTCCCTATGAGATTCTTATTCTGACCGTCGTACAATTAGGGTGAAGCACTGTGGAGGCTTGCGTACACTGCGATTGCGACCTCATGGCCCGAAATGACCGGCCACAAGAGGGAGCACGACGCGTGCAGTGGAGTTGAACTCGTTCTCACGGCGTTATTGAGTCAGATCTACGCAGCTCTGTCCAGAGTGAGTGGAATACTTTCAAGCCATTGCATAAACGCCGCCATAACTAATCATTCGTCTAGAACCGGACGTTGAGAATGACCAGCCAGACTTTCTACGGCCTCAGCATGCATTGGGCGCAGTACTGTGGAATGTATGACCTCGTGCCTTACCGACAGACCTTGCCACAGGTTCATGACTCCATCGAGACGAAGATGCACGCTTGGAGGTCATGGGCGGCGAGAGAGACGCAATTAAGAACGCTGCTAGGCCTGTGCATCATTGACGGCGTGGTCTCGCAATTCAGTGGAAACCTTGTTAACACCTGGTCGGCGACAAACTCGCTGCCACTATCTGCCGATGAAGACGCTTTTGCTGCTGAGACAGTAGATGAGTGGATTGAGGTAATGGTGTCTCGCGGTCACAACACGGGTAGTGGGCCAGATCGCTTCTCTGACCTCTATCACTCACTCGTTCCTGATGGAACACACATCGGCCCAGTATACTGCTTGCCGGGACTACTCAACATTAGGATTCTCCTCGAAATATTGGCTTCACTTACAAATGACTTCGAAAGATTGAACAAGGGCTCGCAGGCACAGGTTGCTCAGAAGCTTGGAGCCGTGAAAGCATTGGTAACTCTGCGAACCCATCTTGCCCAGAGCACGACATTGTCGGCATCAGACAAGACTATTGGCTTACTGCGATGGCACGCGGTCTGCCTCGACCTAGTTGTCAGTACTGCTCGTGGAGCAAGAAGAATGTGTTACCACTACAACATCACGCAGCACATCTTTGGAGGGAAGAAGCGCGAAGAGCCGAGCAGGATAGACCCTATTGCCTGGACGCAGGGTCTTCGGGCAAGGAAGTGTTTGCTTCATGCCATGGAGATCCACAAGATCGCGTCTGAGATTCCTCTTGGGATTATTCACGACACATGTCTACCGGGGGCATTGTTTGCGGCGGCCACGACGTTCAGCTCATTCGCCCTTCCTGGGCTGTCAAAGGTCCTAGTTCCTCCCTCCGTGGACTGGAGCATGGTTATTCTACAAGGCCTAGATGACACGGGACAAAATACGACGTCTGCGACGGCTGATGTATCGAAAGACACGCTGGCGTTTCTCACGAACAACGTCAATCCTCAATCCCCAGGATGGATTGCTCGAAATTTGGTATATGAGCTCAGCGCGATTCGGATTTTGCTGCACAGTCTTTCTCAACATTGGGGCGTCACGCGAGAGATGGAAGAGGTGGTTGGAGCATGGGAAGCCCGGTGTAGTTGACGGGGGACAACCTCTATGAAGCGACCGATTGTAATATCTACATAAGTTGCGACATTCCGTATGATGATTAAGGAGTTCGCTTGTCGCCGTGTCTACGATGCGCCATCGGTCAGGACATTGTCAATGATGAACTGAACACCAGGTTCTCGATATGTGTCCGCTTCGATCCATGAGCCATATCCATTGAACACAATACTGTTTCCTTCATTGCCGTATTGTGGCCAAAGAGGCAGTCCAGTTCCTGTTTTTCTCAGCGTCCATTCAATGGCACATATCAGTATGAGGAGTACATACCGAAGACCCCCGTGTTCGGGTCAAGATCATGAGCAAAGCTGATCCACGAGGCTGACATCTGATATGCCATGCTATGGTCCCAAGGCTGGTCTGGAATTAAGTTTGAGAACACGTATTGCTGCTCCCCCCCAGTTCCGATGCCTTTCGTCACTGATGAGGTGTTCGACTGCAAGTGGTTGAAGCGATATCTGTACACGGGAACGCCATCTCGAGCCAATGTCTGCGCAATCATCCGCGCCGGGCCAATCTGGACTATATCCCCGAGGATGGAGCATGCCATTTTATCGAGAAGCCCAGATGTGAACTGAGTGTTTCCGGTGTTGTACGGACATCCTAACTGGGGATTTGTGGGGTACAGGCTGATGAGTTTTGAGACCGTCTCGTTCGGTAATAGCTTCGGGCGGAAGTAACCTTGAGCTGTATTTGTGTTAGATGAACTATGAAAGGATGGCGCGCCTTATAGTGTCGAAATTACTCACCTACTGGATCAAACAGCTGTTCAGTTGTGTTGATGCCGGTCGGCGCCGACGTGGTGCCTTCGTCGGTGTTTGCTGAGCATTGTCAGATACTACTCTCGACATAACATATTAGGGTAGTCAAGCTTACTTCCAACAACTGTGGGTATCTTGATGTATTGCCCAGCGGGCAGAGCTCGCTGAATAGATGTGCGGGTAAAGTCACCATCAACCGACTGTCCAGTCGACGACCCCACCTTTGCCCTGAACTCTTCAACAGGCAGCTTGCGAATGCAATCCAGTTTGTCTGAAGCACTTCCGTTGACAACAGAAGAGCAGTTAGTTCCATTTACCAGTGAATCAAATGTGCTCTGAAACGCAGTTGTATTGGGTGGCGTCAATGGAAATGCTCCGCCGCTTTGCAGTATGGCCCCGCGAAAGAGACCGTCATTCCTCCCACCATATGCCATCATATGGGAGTATATAGACACCGCACCGGCTCTGTTTGATGTTAGCCGATCGATCAAGAGTAATTACTCTGGCCGACCCTACGATTCACCTGCTAGGGTGACCTTCTTGGGGTCGCCCCCAAAGGCAGCGATGTTCTCTTGGATCCAACTCAACGCCCTTCGTTGGTCAAGCATGCCTGTGATTTGGATGTATGTCAGACTATGATAAAATAGTAGAAGATGACATGCAGGACCTTGGAGTTGCATTACCAATATTGAGCAAACCAAGTTCGGCCATCTCCTTTCCATTCAAGAAACCGAAGGGGCCTAGTCTGTAGTTCTAGCATCAGGTCAGCCTTTCGCCTGTTGCAGAGGGCTTGGTCATAATCTACTACAAACTTACTACTGATACGAGAATGATAGGCTTGCCAATATCCTGAGAAATACGTGCTATAGAAGTCCCTTCGAATCTGGGATCAGCCTAACAAATATTTCTACGTAAGAAATGTGTTCATGCGTGGGCATCACATCAGAGACAATGACCTACGGTGTAACCATTAGTCAACCCGCCTCCGTATAACCAGACCAACACGGGCAACTGGCTGCTGCTGGACGTCGCATTCGTTGGTCTCCATATGTTGAGCGTCAAGCAATCTTCACTCGAATTGCCTTGATCCCTCGCAGAGTAACAAGAAGGTCCGAATTTGTCTGCTTGTAAATTGCCGAAAGACTTTCTCAGAGACACAGCTTGTCGCAGCCGCAGGTCTCCGACAGGTGGCTCCGCAAAGGGAATACCCAGAAATCTCTGGACACCGTTGACAGCATCGTTCACGCCAACAACTGTGCCGTTAGTGGTCAAGACTGAAATGGTAATTGATGGCCGAACAATGATGAGTAGCAGGAAAGCAAAGACAAATGATGTCAAGAAAGAGTGACTGGCCATCGTTCTGGATTCCTGTGTCTCTCAACGATTGACAATGAGCCACCTGTTGGGATTTATCAACCACATATTACGAGCACTTCCAAAGGCCAATCATCTAATAAACCCCCTGCGTGATCACCATAATCTAGCACCAATCTGACGACGTTAGCTGAACTTGGGAAATGCGGAGATCCCATGGGGTAGTGTGGTAGTGGTTTCCCACTACCGGATGATCGGGCCCATCCCACAATGTGGGAAAAGACCAGCGTCTCTTGGCAGTGGGGCAGCGATATTATCGAAACTCGGCATAGATGCTCGGGATATGGGCTAATCAATCATCAGGGGCTATTCACCGAGAAGCTGACGGAAGTATTTGGGCAATTCACAAGTCCTTACCTACACAAACCAGTGATCACTTGAGGGACGTTGTCGTTTGATGTCCTTGAAAGGGCACATTGGCTGTTAATTGGGGCTTTCAGCAGGAGACGCCTATAGCATTTGTGTGACATGTTACTTTCGAGATGCGAGTGGAATCATTAAACCAAAGGTGCATGGTAACTGGAAAGAATTTGATTGCTAAGTTATGTATGGATACCAGAAGGTTATACAGGGACTTGACGATTAATCCGTCATTCGATATTTACTTGCGGAAACGGGAGGCCAGTATTTACTGAATAGGAGTGACCTTGATGTTGTCCAAGTCTTTGAAGACGACATCGTTGATACCAATAGTCTTAGGACCCTCGCCGGTGAACCATGCCTTCGCTGACTCGTTCCCACGCAGCATCCACTGCAAAATTTGGGTACCAACCATGGCTGGGATTCCGCCATTGGGAGCATCAAAGGCAGCACTGTGGCCGAGATCGTGATTTCCTTTCCAAGCGGGGGTTCCCGCAGGAATATCTGCGTAGTCTCGCTCACCCTGGTAAGAAGTCAGCATTCGAATGCCCATAAACCATTGTCAAGGCAACCAACATTTGTGTAGGCAATATCAGTCGGTCCACCAAGCGTGTAGAATACAGGCTTCTTGAGGCTGCCTGCAATCTCCTTACTCGAGGTCTCGTTCAGAAGACCGCTATTGAAGATGCCTATATGGCTGACACGAGAATCATTCAGGCCGGCGCCGTAGGACTCAAGACCTCCACAGCTCTGTCCCCACACACCAATGCGAGAGGCGTCGATGTGCTTCCAATCGCCTTTGCCAGCATTGGCGTGAACCCAGTCGATGGCGGCAGTGAGAGCAGCTGGATTCTGGCCGGATGCGTTCACTGACGGATCATCAGGAGGCGCTACGTAGGTCTCGGGGTCGACATAAGCCGGCCCCGTAGCGATGGCAAGTGCACCGTGGGAGGCTACTTCACCGAGGAATCCTCTGAAGGTAAGACCGACTTAAGCGCGTTAGCACATAGAATACATAGAGAAGAGGTTTGTATGGGACATACTAGGTCCATGTTAGCGCGATTTCTATCAAGATCTCGGGGCACCCTTACCAAGGCTTGCAACCGCCATTACCCCAGACAACGACGGGTAGCTTGAGGTTGGAGCCCACCGCGGATTCTAGTGGCTGGTAGAAGCTGTGATTGGCTAGTGATTCAACCTCGAAGTAGTACTTTCGTTCATGTTAGTCGACATCTAGGCATAAGACGAAGGTCATTCCATGCATACCGACTTGTAAGGGCCAGTACCACCGTACTATCAAGAGAGCGTGTTGTCAGTCTTCAGCAGTCCAAGCGACCGACGAATGATGAACTTACTGATGGACCATGGTCAGTAGCAATAGCAACGGCAACAAGGCCAAGAAAGGCGACGGCCCTCATGTTTGCAGTAAGTTGTCGTGCTCAACTTTGAAAACGGCGGCCAACAACAACGCACCAAGTGCAAGGCATTGCCCATGAGTCTGACCGCCCACTATATAAACGATTCATGTTTCCTGGTTAAACATTAAGCCTTGACGAAACCTTCGGAGATTTGCTGTCAACAAACCGGGGGACACGGATCGGAGAGATGCCCCTGACGAATTGCGCCGAGGACAAGGTTGTATCGATCGCCATGCGCAACCCCGCATTTTACACGACATACTACCATACTTGAATAGAAACAAGTCAATTCCTCGACTACTATTAATGAAGTTGCGATCAGAATGGATTTCGCTCGTCTCTGATGACCCTTCACAGAGATGGAGTGGGCGCATGTGGGAAAAGTGCTCCAACCAGCGGCTTGGCGTCGAGCGAATGTGGGGAAATGGCTTTCCCACATTCTCCACCTAACCTGAACGCCGCCATGCCTGCCGTCAAAGTAGCATGCAACTCGTCACCCGGAGCCGAAGGCTAGCCTCAACAGCGAAAGAGTCGGAACCGGACTTTCGGTTTTAAGATGCCAAAGGTCTTTCTGCACAGTTCACTGGCTTGACGGCCGCGCTCGCTTGGAAAACCATTTCCTAGGAGCGACTACATTGAGGATTTGAAAAAGGCGAAGAACAATTTTGCATAATTCAACGCCAAGTTGAAGTTAATGGCAAAATTGCGGAAGTTCGCTCAAGGAAGATTGTGATTCTATGCTTACCTAGGTAGATAAAAGTGTTGTATCGATGTACAACTAAGGACATTGAGATCGCGCACTGCGGTAAGGATCAATAGTTAGACGATTATTGCTACCAAACATTAGACTTCGCAATCAGGCTAAGACCTCCAGACTCAGTAGGTGGCGGCCCATTGAACAACAAATTTACTTGGTATGGATGCTGAATATGATGGAATACACGACCGCAGTTACAATGTCTCCTATATTTCTCTGGAGCCATGGGAATTGCCGGTTTGTCCTAGATGGTGTGTTTTACAAATTCGCGGACTTCGCCAGGAGGCTGCAGATCTACACATACTCAAAAGGTGATTCACCAGCCAATAGTACTTCTTAGACTCAATACATCAGATTTCTAAAGCACCTGAACTCATCGCTGATTCGCCACAGAATTGAGACTCCATCATCAAGGTCTAGGGATAGTAGGGTTGTATATAGCAGCACTGTGGCACGGGTCAAGACCATTTTTCTATCTGCATTGTTTTTCTAGTTCCCTCTTCATTCTCTTTTCTCAGAGTTCTTCTAAATTACATGATGTTGATGCGTAAGTACTTGACTATCCTATCAAAGAAAATGAGGTCAAATAGACGACGAGGCAAAACGCACGATGAATCTCACGCGCCCCACGCACCAGGAGGCTTGCTTATACCATATCGGCAACCCCTCACCCCCCAAGACCCTACGCTGGATCGTTCGATGACGGTCAACCCATGACGCCATTTGACCATAGACACCGTGTCTGCTTCCGAGAAGAAACATCGAAGCGCCCTGCATGCCGCGATACATCTAGAAGCCACGATGCATGCTGTGCTCGTCGCGGCCGTCCGGAGACAACGGCTGTGTTCTTGCACCCAAGCGGCTATAGCGATCCGCTGCACCACTTTCTTTGCAATTGTTGTTTGTCGGGATATCAGTGGACACTGATAGGGAGACGAGTTTTCCTTCGCAGACTTCACAAGTCGCCTACTCTTGGGTGTTTTTGCTCATTACCAACTTCGGGAGGACCCAGTTTCGTTCGAACGCGCCCGGACATGGACTCTCTCTATGCAAACAAGATGATACGTTTGCTTGATACAAATACGTATCAGGGCAATCGCTTCTCAAAACAAAAAATGCTTTGCAACCAGAGGGGTTGCTGGAATTCTCGAAACTCTAAAACCAATTGGATAGTAGAAGCTTAGTGACTCATGAAACGTGAAATTGGCAACATAATCAGGATGTATCTACTCAATTACAGAGACCACTTGCTCATCATCGCCCACAGCATAGCTTTTTGCCGTCTGTGTGACTCAACTATCGATGCTTATTGGTTGCCGAATACCACCTTATTTTAATGCTTGAGAATCTGATACTGAGTGCTCCTGCTGTAACGAAATCCGAGTTCTTCCCGCTCCGGCGCACACGATTCCGCAGTCCGGCTAGACTCAGAGGTATCACTCTCAGTGCCTCTTCATGTTCCGTGACGTTCATGTGATCTTCACATACTCTGCACCCAAAGAATCCTCCGCCCACTAAGATATCGTTTCATGCAAGCCAAATCCCGCCTGCCATTCGGGGAATGTGACCCCTGCTGCCTATGCAGGTAAGCAAGCCTTAGCTGCGACACTAAATATCGGCAACCTCAACGATTGGAAGCACAAAACACTCAAAGACCCACCGGTTCCAGGTCCTTTGACGCAATGTGGACCTGACCGTCATTTGGTCCCAACAGTAGAATGATCCCGCACAAATGGCTCATGAGGTGGCTTTCTGCTATTGGTCGCCCGAGGTGTCATTCGTATCATCAACACACTGCTGTACTGGACGCACAAAGCCCTCATGGCTGTATCCATACCCAAAGGGACTGTCAGGAACAGGCCATTTTGCGGCGTGGTCACAGTTTGGACGGCTCGCTGCAGGCACCGGAATATTCAGTCAATCACATCAATCTGTCTTTCACTCCGTAAAATGGCACATGCAATGGCTGATTCATTGTGTCCACGTATCAGTGAATGAGTGTCAAGTCCCACAGACAGCACGCCATCCGCCTTGCGTATTATAGATACGTGGACCTGGTGTTAAACTGGATATCATCCATTTTGCCTGTCCTCAACTTCGTTCTCTTGAAGTTTTAGCATCAAATTGTCCCTCTCCGTTTATCATTCGACTCATTCTTGTTTCCCTTACAAGGGAATCTGCGGTTTTGACTATCTAAGTATGGTTTCCAAGAAGACAAGCTGTTCGGCGGCCGTCCAGGAGACAACCTTCCTCGTGCCAAATATCCACTGTCCAACATGCACCGGCTTTATCGAGCCTCTGCTTCGGGAGCTTACCCCTTCGCCCAAGTCCATTATTACCTCGATCATCAATCACAGTATCACTATTGAACACGACAAGGCCCTGTCCCCGAAGAAAGTCTCCCGAGTCCTGGCAGACGCTGGGTATGAAGTTGACAGCATCATCAT